TCACTTGAACTAGTTCAACTAAGGCAATAGTCAAACTCTAACTCATCACTCTAGTTGAACTGGTTCAAAGTTCTTGAATTAGTTCAAACACGTCAGTAGTTTAGACTCCACCTCGAACAAGGATTTATTTATACCTTCACCTCAACTGAAGATTTCTCCACCTCAAATAAAACACTATAATGAACTTGAGAAACACTCTAACAAGTGTTTCTTAAATTTATCATAGTGTTTTGTTCAAGGTGAATAAATCTTTAGTCGAGATGGAGCTATGGAGAAATATATGAAGACCAAATAAAAGCTAACGTGGAGATTGTTGGGTTTTGTGGCTCGAAATAAGTGTGCGTGAATGTCTTGGACAAAATGATGTTGGGAAATTATATGCTTCATATAACATTTAAGATATAAAGAACCTTATACTAATATGCCATGAGATAATTACTAATATGCTAAAAAATAATTAATTAAATATGCAACTTGATATTTAATTAAACATGCAAATTAAAGTAATAAAATAATAATAATAAATAAAGAGCTTAGACCGATGCTAGTACTATATACTATGTCCTTAAGACAATTTACGCCTCGCATGGTGCTGACGGACTCTATGACACTTGTCTCTCAGGATACAATGGTCTACATCCACTAGTAGCAGTACTATAAACTTGTGGATACGGCAAACCTCCTCTGTGTAATACTCTCTCGGACTAAAAAAAATGCGTATATACTATATAAATGTTGAATTGAGTGCAATCTGAATCAAATGGTTTGGACCAATTTTAATATGACTCATTGAAATTAGATTATGGTCTAAGTTGCTCGAACCATTTGACATATAGCTTGAACCCACTTAGGTTGGGTTCAAGTCTAGGAAGGGAAATAATATATTAGATAATTGAACGAATTGCAAATGGCACCCCAAAGGGGTATTTGTAGAAATAGGAGTGCCTTGTCGGATTGGATGTGTCTCTTCATCACTGGACACAACCATTTATATGTGTTTGTTCATCACCAGACACACTAATTGCAATAGGTTGCAATGGTTCACATTGAATAGGTTATGTCTATTGGTTTTAAGTATTTCATCTCACAACCAACAAGTGATCACACGTGTTCAGTCGAAGGCATCCATTGATGACTAATAAAATAATTTTCATTCACGAATTATAACAGATGAATCTGTTCAAGTTATTTGGAACCAGTTCAATTGGGTGAAAAATAAAGATTGAACATGTTCAGGTTATTTGGAACCAATCCATCAGGAGTGAAAAAGGCCGAAGATTTGGAAAGTATTAGGTTGTTATTTTAGACTCGAAGACTAATTTGGTAACTCCTTATATGAAAGTTGAGGAATTCTTATCCAAAAAGAAATTGACTTTGAAGACTGTATAAATATAGATTAGTGTGAGAGGTAGAGAGATAAGGGAAATATGTAAGGGGTTTAATGATAGTGTTGTGAGGAGAGGATAAAATATATGTAATTTTCGAGTGTAAATATGTAGTCAGAGTGGGGTTTTGACATGTGACTGTATATTATTTTTCTTGATTCATAATTGTGGAAATCAATCTTTCCATGGACTCAACATTAGTTTTGGGCTAACCATGTAAAATATTATGTTGTGCATTGATGTATATGATTATTATCTCCATATATGCTTGTGTTGATGTGATATGATAATACTTCCACCGTATGTAATGATGGAGGAATTTAACTCTCAACAATAGCCGATTATGAAGTGGGTTGAAAGGAATTAATATTCCTGACATGGAATTGAACAATATGATATTCTTTCTTCGTCTTCCTAAGGCTAGTTTTAGGATAATTATGAAAAAATTATTTGGAATTCTCTTGAAAGATTTCAATTTAAGAAAAATGTAATTTGAATCAACTAGGGTTAAAAAGTAAAACAACCACCCATACTTGAAATTTTAATAAGATGAAGAAAATTAACGATTTTAGATATGACATTTTTTTTTGGTATTTTATGAAAAATGTCAAATTAATGAGTTAAACAGGCATGTTTTGAAAATTCTATTATTATTATTTTCACAAAAGTGACAAAATAAGATGTTTGATTATATTTTTTTGAGAATTTTTGGAGATTTTGATGCAAATGGCAAAATAAGAAGGCTAAAAAAGACATTTTGAAAAATAACATGTTTAGAGATTTTGAAATTCTAAGAAAAATGGAAAAAATGAGGTTTCAATTTCATGACATTCGATTTTATAGAGAGTCCATATTTTCAGTCTTCCTGCCACATTCCTTTATTCAACAATTAGTATTTATTACTATATTAAATGAAAATATGATTTTCTAAAAACATTCTAGAACATGAAATTGTGATAACTTATGGATTAAGTCATGTAATGATGATGTAGTGGAGTGCATGAAATGTCAATTTTGATTTTCGCACGATACTTTTCTATCATTGAAGTAACATCACATAAAAGACCACATCACAATATCACATGCAACTTGCCCCTCAAACTAAGCCCTTTCCCAAAAGCGCCGGATTTTTTTTTTTTTTTTTTTTTTTTTTTTTTTTTTTTTCAGCTTTTGACACTTCACTTTTGTTTTCTAGACATTTTTAGCATCCTTTAGAGAGACAAATAACCCAATTTTGCATTCATGTGTTTCTTGAAAAAGTCCCTCCCAATTTTTTATTTTGGACCAATGACATTTGGCCATAATTTTTAGCTTGTATCAGAACACATACCTCTTTTCAGATTTCCAAAATTTGACCCCATTTTACTTGTTTTATCCAAACAGACTATTGTTGACTCTTAACTCGTTTTTGTAATTTTCCACCAATACGTTTGCATTTTAATTCAATTTTAATACATTATTAGTATCCTCACCCCATATATTATTGTTTCACTTCCTTTAGTTCTAAAAATTGAGGCCAAATGAACTCCTTTTGACCTGGTTCCATTATGATTCAAAACAATTTACCCTTATGTTATGCTCGAGAACACTGAGTTGATGGCCTGAATTTAAAAATGAATAAATTTTAGTACAAATTCGATTCATTACTATCAAACATAACATTACTACTTTTTAAAAAAAGGGCCAATGTCGCTAAGTTGAATTCTCTGCAATTGATATGTGCCATTTAAAATCTATCTACGAATTGTGTTAAATCACGTCAATTAATTTAAAGAAAGTTTAAAAACTGCACCGTTTTGAGATAAAAAAAAATTTACCCTTAAAACTGAAAACTGCACCGTTTTAATATAAGAAAAATTCACCATACTTTAACGACGTTAAAGACGTTTTCTTTCCTCATCTTTTCCGAAAAAAGATATCTCTCTCTTGCTCATTCCCATGATTGGGGAAATATTTCGCGCCAAAAATGAAAGTGCAAAATAAAAGTCTCATGATTTTGCAGTTTAAATTTTAGAAAAAAAAAAAAAAAGGAAGAGGAATTTTGCAATTTAGATTTCAGAAAAAAAAGCAAATTAAAAAAAAGAGGAATTTTGTAATTTAGATTTCAAAAAAAAGAGAGTGAACCAAAGTTTATAGGTGTCCAAAATGGTGGAAAAGAACATTCATTTTTTGCGCAAAATATTCCCCCAATTGTGGGAATAAGCAAGAGGAGAGAGATGGAGGGATCTTTTTTTTTTTTTTTATTATTATTATTTTTTTATTTTTAAGATGAGGGTAAGAGAATCATTGGTAAATTTTTCTTATTTCAAAACGGTGCAGTTTTTAAATATTCCTAATTTTTTTTTTTTTAATCTCAAAATGGTGCATTTTTTAAACTTTCTTTAAATTAATTGACGTTGTTTAACACAACCAGTAAATAAATTTTAAATGTCACGTGTCAATTGATAAATAATTCAACTTAAAATAAATTAGAGAATCAAAACTCGTCCAATTACTTGTAAACTTATTTACTTAAGTTCACTATTGTAAATGCGACACATCACCTGATTAAATTAAACTTATTTATTAATGTGTGATAGATGTAATTTGTCAAAAGTAATCAAACCTGATGAGAGATGTTAATATATATATTTATACATTAAGGACAATTGTGTAATCTTTTGGCTAAATGAGGTGAGTCTGGTAATGGAACCTACAAATCTATGTTTTTTATTAGAGGAAGCCATTCCTTTGTAATTGATTGTATTTTTTCTTTTTCTTTTTTAAAAAAGGAAATCTAAATAAGCCTTCTAAAGAAAATCTACCTAATACTTTAGAAATATTTTATTCTATCACATGACACTCCTGAATAGATGGTAGGCAATTGATTATTAGTATAATAATTATTGAACTCCCAATAATACCCAATTGACATAGAATGTACTAAATCCCTCTAATTTGTAGTAAATACTCATGTGAACATCCACCACCTTCACCTCGAACCTTTAAACGCAATCGCATATGTTTGTCATGTCTCTAATCACACTAAACTTGGTTATTAATGTACCATAAATGAATTCATCACACCTAATAAGATAGGCATATAAGTACATTTTACATTTATGGAATGATAATTTTGCAATCAATGAAAAATTTTAGGAACAATAAGTTGTGAAGTTATATCTAATCTCATTTATCAAATGAGATAAATTTTATAGCAAACAAATAGTTTGAAATCCTCTCGTTACCTACTTACGGTAATATAATTCCCTTATAACACACACATCAAAGCTGTAATAATATTAAATTAAAATTTTAACATATTTATATAATTATTGTATTATTAATTTAAAATTATTGTATTAACGTGATCAAATAGTCTCAATTCGGTAGCTTTCTAAAAAAAAAAAAACTCCGATGATGTCTGATCAATGGTGTGTGCTGGTCCAAGTCTCCAAGATGGCAATTGGAACATCATCCAAAAATGTTGCACCACAGGGGAATCATAACCTTATTCAATGCTTCAAACCGAACCGGTCCGACTCCCCGAACAATGGTCCAGCTAAATCAACCGGTTTAGTGACTGCCTATATATATAACTTTCCTTATTTTGCTTCATTGGTTTCTTCATGTGTTTCTCTTTCTTATCTCTATTTTCATCTCTCTCATCAATCACAATCATCAACACAGTTTCTTCGCTGATAAAGAGCGAACCGCAGCGACGACCACCGTCTCTGAAGCGGCTCAGCCGACAACACCACCACCACCACATCGTCTCATTTGCCGATAAGACAACACAAAACGCCGATATTTTGGTTAATGGCGACGCAATTTGTAAGTTCCCTAATTCCATTTGATTGATTTATTCGTTTCTTCTGCACTAGGTTTCGAAGCTCCCAAACAACACCGTTTCAGAAACCACTATAGATCGTTATAATCAAGTTCACTATTCTGATTAATCCTCGTTTATTGGATTGAAAATTAGGTCTTCTTACACAAATCGCTTTCTTAGGATTTCGAGGATTCATATCTTGCTGGAAATCGGTTGGGACGAGAATTGGGCTAGGTTTTCGATTCTTTTAGCAGAGCTGTGATTTAGGATTCGTATTTGGTTTGATTTTTGATACGAGGAAGATAGGTTTGGCTTAGAGGATAATGTGTATACTGTGCGTCATTCAGAAGTGGTCTCGACGGGTTGCTACCATGCTTCCATGGTTAGTAATTCCACTGATTGGACTATGGGCTTTATCTCAGCTTTTGCCGCCAGCTTTCCGGTTTGAAATCACCTCACCGAGGTTGGCGTGCGTGTTTGTGCTTTTGGTTACCCTCTTTTGGTATGAAATTTTGATGCCGCAGTTATCAGCTTGGCGGGCTCAGAGGAATGCTCGGCTTAGAGAGAGAAAGCGGTTTGAGATGATTGAAATGCAGAAGCTTCGGAAGACTGCTACACGCAGGTGCCGGAATTGTTTGACTCCATATCGAGATCAGAATCCCGGTGGGGGCCGGTTTATGTGTTCGTACTGTGGGCATATATCAAAGAGACCTGTTTTGGACTTGCCAGTCCAGGGGCTTTCAAATTCTGGAATTTTGAAGGATTTGGTTGGCAAAGGTGGGAAAATATTCAATGGTAAGGTGTGGGCTGAAAATGGTTGGATGTGTGGTCAAGATTGGCTAGACAATGGTAATTGGGTTGGTGGATCTTTTTCTGAGAAGTCTGCTTATTGGAAGAATAATGGGGGTGGGGTTTTTGGAAGTGATGACCATTGTATGGCAGAGAAATCTTATTCCGGTGTTGTTATTTTGGCCTGCAAGATATTGACTACTTTCTTCTTGAGTATCAGATGGCTGTGGAGAAAGATTATGAGGGTTAGTTCCTCTGGAGATGATGCTTCATCAAACTCAGAGCACAAGGGGATATTGGCTAAAAGAGGTGAGAATGGAACAAATTATCAAGAGAGTAGAGGTGAAAAAGCTCGTAGAAAAGCTGAAGAGAAGAGACAGGCTAGATTAGAGAGGGAACAATTGGAAGAGGAGGAGAGGAAGCAAAGGGAGGAGGTTGCTAGGTTGGTGGAGGAGCGTAGGAGAATGAGAGATGAGAAGATGGAGGCTGAGAAAGATCGCTGCAAAGGTTCAGCTACTGCAAGGGAAAAAGATAGTAGGAAGGTTGCAGGAAAAAAGCGTCAGGAGAGAAGGAAGGAAAAAGACAAGGGCTCTAGTAAAAGCAACTCTGATGCTGAGGAACTGGAAAAGAGAGTTGGTAAGGGAAGTGAAGGGAAGCGGGATTTTGACAAGAAAAGTGAGACTGATCGACGGGAATCTCACAAATCTGGGGTAGAAAGCTCCAGGGCCCATAGCACAGATACGGGACATGGGTTTAAGGGTGCCACTGTAAACAATAATTTCCGGGGAAATGCTGGATCTAGATACCTGGATCATATGAGGGGTACTTTTCTTTCATCTTCTAGAGCATTTAGTGGAGGTAGTTTCTTTGGAAAGGGTTCTAATACTTCTGCTATTGCTTCAAGAGAAAACAAGCCTAATGGTTCTATAGATCATGTTCAAAATTCTGTCAAAGGGAAAGATTTATCGAAACCTGGGCTTCTATATGGGAAATCAAATATAAATGGAGATGAAAGGAGCTTCAGCCGTCCTGTAAGTCATCTTACTACATTATGAATTCTTATTTACTTCTGTTAACCCCTGCTTTAGTATTCTTGTCTTGGGAAACACTTGAGGGATGTGAAGTCCATCATCCTCTTCTAGACCTATCCTTCACATCACGACCATCGTGTTACTTTAAAATACCGTAGCAGTCACCAGAATGACGCCAAGAATATTAGACATCAGCAATTCTGACTGAGTTGCTTGTTTGTTTGTTTGTTTGTTTTTTTAATCGGATCTAGTTTAAACGCCTTACCTTATTATTATAGAAAGGGGAAAGGAGAGGGGGTTCAGCCTGTAAAGCTCATGAATCACAAACACTGTTAGGTCATAAAAGTCAGTGTAATAAAGCATCAATACTGTGATTCGTCCATAATTAGATGAATCTGGTCATAGGACAAAAAAATTCAAGAGCCTTGAGCCAATAAAGACTAAGGAGATCGACTCAAGTAAAATTGTCATTTGGAGCTCCATTGTAGAATTCAATTCAGACCTAACCATTAATTGAGAAGCGATGGGATGGGAATGACGGAACCTCATATCTAGTACCATTATGTAATTTATTTATTATTGTTCTTCTGTTGCACTAATTCCTTGGATGCATTATAATCTAGAGGTTTTCAGGATTTATGAGCCAGTGGGCAACATTTATGACAGCACTGTCTATTTATGGTTTATTGATGATGATTAACTTAGGTACATATATTTATGTTGAGCTGTCTATTGCAGGTTCTTGTTGAACCACAACCAGCAACAATCCCTAAAAAATCATGGCAACAGTTATTTACCCGTTCACCAGCTGTTACTCCACCGTCTAATTCGAATGTCATAAGTAGACCAAATGGGAAATTACAAGCAGAAGTTCGAAGTCCTCCATCTCATGGCCACTCATCATTAACACAACCATATGATAACCCTATTAATTTTGGATTCCCATCGCCATTTACTTTACCTACTTCCACTTATTTATCAATGAATAGTAGTACTGTTATTCCATTAGCATCTGAAGCCATGTTTCCTCGCATTGGAGATGCACCTCGTGAACTTTTACCAGAAGAGTCGGACATTTTTGAAGACCCTTGTTATGTTCCTGACCCAGTTTCCCTTCTTGGTCCTGTTTCAGAGTCACTAGATAACTTTCAGTTAGACTTGGGTGCTGGCTTTGTCACGGACATGGAATTTGAAAAGCCTCATGCTTTAAAGAATATATCTACATCTTCTGAGGTCAGCAGACCATCACCAATTGAGTCTCCAATGACGCGATCACGAGTCTCTGATGAAAGGAATTCTAGTTCTAATCGATTCCCAGGTACTCCTAAGGCCCAGGATAAGCACACTTCAATGGATTTCAGTAATACAGATGAGAGCGGGACGTGGCAGATGTGGAACACTTCTCCTCTCGGTCAGGATGGCCTTGGGTTGGTTGGTGGCCCAGGTAGCTGGTTTTTATCTCAAGAATTGAACAGATCAAACAGGGAAGATGTTGTGCATCCTATAGCTCCCAAAACTATGGCGTCACTGTTTACAAGAGATGATAAACCCGTGTCTTGCACTCATTCTCCTCACAATGTTTTTCTTGGCAATTGCCAAAATGGCGGGACCTTTCATACTCCTGTTCCTGGTTCTGGTGATGATCCATGGTTATCAAAACCCTCATTTGGACCAATGACAGGCAGTGAAAATCATTTCTCTCTTAATTCTTCGGAAGAAACTTCTCATAAGAATGGGTTGATCTATGGGAGCCCCAGTGGATCTGCACATAATCATCCATTTGAGTTGTCTCCAGCCAATTCTTGGGCCAAGTAAGTGCATATACTCTTGATATATTTCTTGCAATAGCTATCTGTCTTCTCTCTTTTGCTCCTACAAGCCAAAACAAGAAGTCATTAGATGTATCTTTCTTCATTAATACTTTTAGAGGTTTATTGGTTATATCTTTGCTGCTGCTATTTCTATTAGTGAGCTTTCAATGTAGGTTTAAGTAGAAGATTTGCAATCCTTTTATTGTTGTTGTTGTTGTTATTATTATCATTATTACTATTATATTTTTTTTTCTTTCTGTGCAATGATTTTTTTTCATGTTTTAGGTGGTGGTTGATAAAACTGAAAATTAAGCACTAAAAAAAATTTAAGAATTGCATTTTAAGAACTGAAATTTTAAGTGCTGAATGTATTAGTTTGAAGAGAAAAAAATATATATTATTCTGAAAAATCTGTTTGATATAGTCTTAGTTTAAAGTGTTGGATTCATTAAGACTCCACAAAAAAATGTTATTATGTAGATCAGCCTAACTTGTGGCCCCCAAAACTCATAAAAACATTTCTATTTGCACGTTTGGAATAAACTGGAATTTGTAAAAAATAATTTTTGTACCATTTTAGGATAGGATACGTTAAAGATATGAAAGAGATTTGTAACGAGAGACATTAAAGTGGTTTTTAACTGTTTGTAGAAGGGTGTTAGTTATCAAATCCCTGAAATTCCTTCATTTTTCTCCGGATTTCCCAAATGTCACAAAATTTCCTTTTAAATCCCTTCAAATCCCATTCCCTTTTAAAATCCCATGGTTCCAAACTAGTGAAATTCCTTTTGAAATCCAATTTCCATGAAATCTTGGGATTCCATACACAGTGTTACTTACTTGGCCCAATAATAATGAGTCTAGAAATTAATATAACTTGTGTCCTCAAAACTTGTGAGTATTTTAAATATTGCAGTATGGTGGTGAACTTGATTGGGTATATAAAACTGTTATTGGTGTATATAGTGTGTTTATAAAAGGAAAAATAAAAAATAAAAGAACTATTTGCAAATTAAGTTGCGTTCACCGGAAAAGGAAAAAGGGTTGAAGTTGTAGCATTTATTCCACATGCCTTTAACTGGTAATATGGGAAACAGAAATGTAACTAGAATGTATCTCTTATATGGGTTTGGTCTGTAAGCACAAGTAATTCAATTAATTTGTAAAGATCGTGCTGTCCTATTGAAGTGATTGCAGTTAATACCTCATACTGCTACTAGCTTCAAACATTCTACTGTGGCATGTATCACTTGGTGCTCAAATCATGAACACGCATAAGGAATAAGCCTAATCAAGAAACAGAAACCTGAATGGGAAATGCATAAAAATTCAAGAGTTGTATATCATTTCTCTCTAAAGCTGTTCTGATTTCTCCATGAAACACCCTATGTTAACCCAACACCCATAAAAGACGAAACACTTATCTTCAGAACTCCTAGATGCAAAAAAAGAAAAAAGAAAATAACTTTTTAACAATAAAATCTTTGGAGCATATACATACAAAATGGGATCTAGCAAAGCCCCAGTTTGCAGATTTAATGCCCACCTCATATAAAAAATATGACCATTGGGTTATTTTGGAGCATTTTAGCAAATATATAATGTTCGCAAAACAAAGGACACGCAATGGTAGAATTGATGAGTAAAATTATAAATCATCTTAAGTTGTTCCATCACAATCAAGCCTAAAAATATATCAAGTTTGCTTACAAAATCAAAAGACATATATAAGAAAACAAAGTCATGTTAATGATTCATACAAAGTGATTCCTTAAGTTGAAAAAGATTATCAATACAAAATAGCAATAAAATTAACCACGCGAATCACGAGATCCATAAAAAAAATTAAAAAAATAAAAAATCTCTGTAAGACATTGGAACATAAAGAAACCAAAAATAAAAACCTTCCTTTCAGTTTTTGTTGTTAAAGGCCTTGTGTCTTTTTGATGCTCTGTTCTGTGACGGCGGTTGTTGGAATTTCATAGAAGAATTTTGTGGGAGAAAAGAGATGTCCGGGAGAAAAACATTGAGAAAGGAACCTTGCCGACTTGGAAAGCAATTATATAAGAGTAAATTCATTTATAGAACAATAATTTTAAAACTTGAATGACTGAACGTGTTATGCGTTTAGTAATAAGTGACCCCTCATTTCACTTAAGTAGTTTGCCTATTTTAAGTGATACCCTAAACGCGTTTTCAAATGCACTTATTTTTAAAATCACTTAATTTGTTTAGTTTTAAGCACTGAATTAGGTTATCAAATAGGAACTTAGTGACTCAACGCATTCAAATGGAAACTTTAATTCCAAAATGTTCAGAAATTAAAGAAAGCTTGATGTTTTTCCTAGAAATTAGGGCAATGGCTAGTTTTAAAGTATATCTTGGTGTTTCTCAAATTCTTGCCTTTTTGTTCCCTTCTTCTGGCTTTCATGTGCTCGTGTGTATGTGCATCCACGTGGATACACACAAATTGATGCCATGACACTTGTAAGTGCTGCTATGGAAGAATCTTTCACTAAAATTGTAAATTCCATTAATGCATTCTGCAAAGCAGAACCTCTTATGCTAGAATCCACCAATGCCTTCTCCATATGGAGAATCCTATTGCAGTGTGTCTAATGCACATTTTATTTATGCATGTTGTCGCAAGTACCAATCAGTATCATGTACAATTTTGAGGTGCTTATGCCTGAGATGTTCGATAAACATGAGATGCCAATTCTCTTGTCTTTGTGTACCCTTTATAAACTTCTGAAGTTTATAATTTGATCTTCTATACAAGAATTTTGCTACTGGATCTCTATAATAACCACTAATTATGTGAGAATTAGTAAAACTTTTAGGGAAATTTCCTAGATTTTCTTGTGGTTAACCGAATAACCCTCAGATTGAACTTTTTGCAAAAATAAGTTGATAACTCGACACCCATGTCGAAGTTATTAAACCTAACGTCCTTTAACGTCATCTTGCGTTTTAAATTTTTACCCCATATTACTATAATAATATTGAAGTTAAGTATTGAAAAGTATCAAAAAATCAATAAAAGTAAAATGACAAGTTTACCCTCTCTCAACCTTTTTATTTTCTTTTGTATACACCGTTCTCTTTCACTCTCTAAAATTTTTTTCACCTCCACTTCTCTCTCTAAAATTTCTATTTCTCCACCAAGATGCACCTCCTTCCCTCACCGTCTCTCTCTCTCTCTCACACGCTCGTGCTGTCACACCTTTTTTTTTTTTTTTGATAAGTAAGAGACATGCAATTAAAAGGTGTTCAAAAGGGGAACCCGTCCCAAGAACAACACAAACAAACACACATTTACTAATGAAATAGCTAATATGTTGAATGCTTTAACAGAGTCAGACCCAGCAACAGCTGCATCAAGACCAGCTTGTTCCGACATCCAATTCAGGTCTGAAAGATGAACCACCTTGTGTGCTAGTTCTTGAGTTGCTTAGTCCTTTAAGGCTTGCATCAAAGTCCTGTGACATGTAGCGGTTTATGTCCAAAACTAATTCCTTTATATTGCCTTCAAAGAGGAATTGAGCTCATGTTATTCTCCTGACCAGATTATTTACTTTTTTGACCCCATTGCCATACATATGTCTGAGTGGAATGGATTCTAGATGTTGCCTTCTTGAATGCAAACATAAAAATTTTGTAGCTTTTCCATTCTATTTTCCGATAATTAGGGCTCTCTGTCATTTTCAAACCCTCTCTCGCTCCACCACAGTGCCTTTCGCCTCCATTACCATTATCCCTTACTACCACTGCCTCTCTCTATCAGATGTTTCCACTGCTCTTTCACCAGTCACCACCACTGCCTCTCTCTCTCTATCTGTCACGTGTTTCTCTCTGAAATCCCAACTCCACCACTCCACCACAACCCTGCAAATCCTTCTGCAACCTCAATCCAATTCAGTGGCGTGTGCAAACATGTGTGCATGTGCTGGTGTGTACTATATATGTGTGTGGTGTATGTGCATTCGTGGAAAGAAATGCGTGGGTGTGATGGATTTTCAAAACGGTTAGATTCATTATTTTATTGGGACTCGTAGGTGTATGTATGTCATTTTATCTAAAAAGGGAAATTTTGTCATTGAGAGCAATTTTATTTAATGGACTGTTTGCAGTGTTTTTTAATGGGCTTATTGGCTTAATGTACCGTTAATGGGGTGCGACCATGTGGCTAGTTTTATTTTCTTAAAACCTTGGGGGAGGTTGACCACCTTCTTCTAAAAGTTTCTTATTCCTCAGGGAATTTCAGGATAAGTTACCCAATTTTTTTATTTTGTACCGCATCATTTATCTTTGCATCTATATGGTGTTCTCCAAATTTATTTGTAATTTTTATTGTGCATTGATTGTTGTTTTGTCTACTTATATTATTGACAGGCACATATATTTATGAAAAGCCTGTGGTACATGGATTTGGCTGTGTTCTGTTTGTGTGCACGCGTCTATATGTCAAATTCATGAAATCCTGAAATCTTAGGACAACACTAAAACATGGTCAAATTATCACCTTGACCAATTTATTGTCATCATTAAATTGGTCAGAATGGAGTTCCCATCTAATATGTGGCTTACTCCGACACCTGAAAGTAATAGATTTGGAATCCCCCCCGTGTGAAAATTCGAAGGAATTAGCTGTGTTTATTTATTCTTTATAGATACTTTTGTTGGGAGTGTCTGCACAGTAGGTGTAGACATATCACATATTACCTATGTTGTATTGTGCCCATACAGTTCTCACATATATTGAGAAGTTCATAAACAGTAAAAACTTTAGATGAAACCTTAACCGTTACAGTGAAAGAAGAAATTATATTTTGTAGGATTATGTTCTCATAAGTTGATATCATTTATATTTCTAGAAGTAGCTTCTTTAAATTCCATTGTAAAGCCTTCAAAAGACTCGGTATAAGTAATAAATGTGGCATGTTTGGATTGTACTTTGAGTTACATAAGCGGAAAACGCAGTGGGAGTCATTGATACCTGGGGAGTTGAATCTCTCTCTCTCTCTCTTCATGATCAACAATTCTAAATTAAACTATTTTTTTTATCGATTAATCAATTATGCAAGCAACAGTCAGTCTCACAATCAAAGAAGTTAGTAAATCAAAGACAAATAGATTTGCTTGGAAAATCTTAATGGGAAGAAATTACGGGAACATTGTTGATGTTAACCAATCCATTATGTAACAAAACTACCATGATTATCGCAAGGTTGTTAGGATCTGGATCTGTGTTGGATTGATTAACGCATCCATAGGATCGGATTGTGGGATTGGATCGGGGATTGTAAGAGCCTACAAATAAGTGAGATGGCACTAAAACTATACAATAAATGAAGAAATAATAGATAGAGAACAAGTTCAAAACACATAAAAAAGAAAATTAGAAATATTGGTGTAAACATATGTAACATGCATTATACACAAGTTCACATAAATCAGGTTTTATAGTTGTGTAAATTACAAAAAACCTCCTAAATTATTAGAGTTTTTGCAACAAAACCCCTAAACTATCTATATATATGTGGGTGTATGTGTGTGTTTTGCAAATACTTGAATTTTTTAAAAAGGTTGCAATAAACCCAATCTGTTATATTGCCATTATGAAATTAATGGAAAGAGTTGCGTGCAATGCACATGTTTTTTTAATGACAAATTTATCCTTTTAGATGACAATTTCACCCTTGTGAATCAACAGTGATTTGAACCGATCCACAACCACACCTACTTTATGACCCGAACTAATTCCCTCTCTCTCTCTCTCCCCTCTCCGGCCTCTTCCCCTCCTTCCTCCAGTGTTGCTTCTGTCCATCATCATTGCCGGCATTACAGTCACAATATTCCTGTAGATGTTTTTTTTTTTTTTTTTTTTTTTTTTTTTTTGCATTCCTTTCCAAATGTGATTAAGCAGGAAGAATATGCGCACCCGAAGACATGAGAAAGTTGGCAATAAGCGTGATTGGTTTCCTGCAGCATCTTTCAAAGGCTTTATTGGGTCAAACTTGGCTATTACTTACATAATGGAATTAATTATCATAGCTGAGAGTCCTTTAATTCACAAACGCTTGACCTCTTGTTGAAGAGCCAAGGCTGTGTTTAGTAACAAGAAACGTTTCTTGTTTTCTGTTGTCAACCTCTAAAAAGGCAAAACGAAAACAAAAATCGCGTTCAATAAAATGTTTTTGTTTTTCTATAATAGAAAACGTTATCAATTTTTGTGAAGAAACTTATGTTTTCGGCACTGTAGCGCAGAAACGTTTTCACTAATGTTACTGCACAGATACTATTCATTTCAAATAAAATTCATATTATTTGTATTATATACTAAGTTGCATATCAAATGTTAATAAAAATATTTATTTTTAATATAGAATATATTAAATATTGTATATTATTTTTTATTTGAAATAATAATGTAAATTATTTTTTGTGACAAAATAATTTTTGATATAGAATATAATGTTATTAAATTATTAAGCAGTAGATATTTTATATTATTATAAATCATATCTATATTATCTTATATGTAAATATTAAATTATAATTAATTTATAATATTATAACACAATATATATTTTATTACATATAAGATATATTATTTAATATTTTTTATTCATAATAAATTATCATTTGCTAAATATATTATATACCACATAATAAATGTATACATCATGCATATATATGTATTTATATACATAATTGGTGGGAATGTTTTTGTCTTGGTATATCTAATTTTGTACTTACGATGTATTGGGTATTTTTAAGATTTATAATTTTAAATTAGATTCGCTAGATTTATAGCTTTTTGATATTAATGGAAGCAAGTGTCGTGCCTGAGTGGTTGGGTTGCTCCCTGTGTCCGAGAGTTCATGTTCAAGTCATCTACCCTCCCCTTTAATCACTAACTCTTAAAATTCTTGCCATGAATAAGATAAAAAATTTAAAGAATATTATGTACATTTTGTAACAAATATGTTGTATTACTAAACACAGTTATTGTTTTATATTTTCAAATTTGTGGCAACAACAAGTATTAATAAACATTATTTCTGTTTTCTATTTTCACTCAGGAAAACAAAATCATGTTTCTGCTTTCTTAAGACTGCAAAAACAGAAAACGAAAACGTTACTAAACGCACCCCAATTTGATTTTATCTTCTGAGATCATCAATGTTGGTAAGTGCGGGATACTGTTTCAAGTATTTGCTTATCAGGTATAAGGAAAAAGTGCTTGGCCTGTGAACTTACTTTGGGGGGGGGGGGGGGGGGGGGTTCCATTTTGGAACAAATACCACAAAAAGCCAACTGCAAACTCTTGGGAATGTCTTGTTGTTCAGTCTTTATATATATATATAAAATAGTGTGTCTATCTGAGATGCAATATATTATATATTTGTAATTGCCTGGTGGTTCATTTCTTTTTTCTTCTTTTTTTTTTTAAAGGAAAAAACTAGAAAATTTTCAGGCTTTCCCAAGTAATGGTAGATACATGAACAAAAGCAATACTCATTGACGCAAATCCAACAAAAAGTTTGAAATAATATTTACATGGAATGCCCTCACTTTGTTTCATGTTAAGAGGTTAAGACTTTGACTTACCCAAAAAAAAGAAAAAAAGGTTAAGAATACTTTGGGCCAACCAAGCTAGGTTGGGTTCAGAATAATGTTATGATGATATGCTATACAACCACAATCTGCACCTTCCCCCTATTTCTTTTCCCCCCCGGTAAGTCACCTGATTCACCTTCGCCCTTCTTGAAACAATAGATATGTGTGTGCGCGCGCCAGGGGGTGGAGTGGTGGAGAAAAAGTAATAGTTATGCTTGAAGTCTCGAGTTGATGTTGAAAATGTTTGTAATTGGGATTATGCAATGAACTGTAACAGATGAACACACAAAAATTAGAGGCGTTCTATTACGCATCTACTTTAGTATTCTGAACATGCTCACTTTGCAGATTTTAAAATAGCTCATGTCTCCTTTAGTGGGAAAAAAAGAAAAGTAGCAATTGAGTGGAACAAAAGAGATTTGATTGTAGAGTTGTACTATTGTAGGAACACTTTTATTCCATGTATATTGGATTGGGTGGTGGTAAGAGTCGCCCCCCAACCTGTATTTTGGATATTGATTTTGAAGGTTTAGTGGAATTCTCTCCGGTCCAACTGGTTTGGGATAATCATGTTTAGTAGCATTTTGTCATGATAGCTTGATTGTTACTCCAGATTTATGAATGTAGTAAAATAAATTAATAGAGGTGTGGTTTGTTCTTGGTTCAATTCATTGCCCCTGATTAACTTTCTTCATTCTTGTTCAAAATTTTATATTAGTTAACTGATGCTTCACCATCCTACTGGTGCCCTGTTTGGTGGTTTTTGTTGGCTTTGTGTTCTGTTGGGTTGTTTTGCTATGGTTTGTTTGTGTTTGGTGGTTTCTTTGTAGATGCCGTAGGGCTTGTTATTGCCAGGGGAAAAAAAAAAAAAAAAAAAAACTGATGCTTCATTTTTTGTTTCTTTGACAGAAAGGAGTGGGCTGTACAGGGTTCAGGGGAAGGCGTCGGGAGCGGGAGCTCATCAATCACAAGGCCTCATGGTGGCCTATATTCAACCCCAGATGTACAGTTACTTTGGTCGTACAATTGAAAAAGAGAGTAGAGTATGATGACTTGAAAAAAAATACACCTGTTTTGGAGGGGAAAATAGCCTCTTTTGGAAGACAGTTTAGAATACGAGACGCAATGTATCTTCCTTGTCTTCTTCATAAGGGAGATTTACTTACATTAGCAATTTATAGGAAATACAGGCCTCATGCGTGTGCTAGCTCATCAGGTAACATTCAAGTATCACTAGTTGTTTATAGTTTCTGGTCCGTGAGGGAGGGGATGTTCCCTATTTAGAGAGGAAAACTTTTATCTTTGCAGAATGCAGCAAACTCTCTTTGTTGCAGACTTGTTGAAATGCTCTGTTAAAATGGATGGTTAATGATACTAACACAATTGGGAGGCATTTCTATTTCTCACTTCTATTTCCATTTTCCTTGGTAAGGTACTAATTTATGGTTCGCAGTATCGGTTATGGTCGCGATATCTGTCGCGATTGCGGTGTAACAGATTCTGACAAAGTCAGTGTAAACTAATCAATACGGGTTGCATATTTTTAAGGGTAGCGTATCGGCCGATACGTCGCCTATCAGACGATAAGGCGAATTATGCTATAACCCCGCTCTTTCACATGAGAAATATGTAGAATCAATAGAATTATTTGATTTATTTTTTGTTATTTTTCCTTTTATTTTTGGGTAAATCATTTGGACACCACCCCTTTTGTTTAAAGTTTGAAAGAAAAGTAAATGTTTAACCTCGTTTGACTTTTGTTTACCATGAGGCATGAGCTCAGTCAAATAATTTTAAGGGAAATGAAAGAGGTGGTGGGGTGGTAAATGAGAGGAAGAGGACCCATCTAGTCACACGTGCTTAAATGTACATTTCATTTTATTGCTTACATAAGCAGCTAAGTATTAAATAAAATTGATGAAACAACGCAAGGGTATGTTAGGGTGTCCAAGTAATTTAACCTGTGTTTTTTTTTTTTTTTTGGGTGAAAAAAATAAGTCAGATTTATGTAAATGGCACCCTCAATTTCTCACGAGCCCAAAATTATAAAATGCCATCACACACGACACGTGTGATGTGTCATTTCAAACTTCATTGAATAGGTTTTTTGGATTACGTATGGCTCCACATGACAAAATGATTATATTTTGACTGAATACAACGTGATGTGAATTTTGAGTTAAGACTCACTTAAATCATGTTCTAATATTTGCGAAACAAATTTTTATATATTAAAAACATTCTAAAAATTTATATAAAATATTTATTTTGGACAGAAAGTAACTTAATAAAATAACCTTTAAACTTTTATTAAGCAATTTTGTTTTTCACATTTGTACTTGGTAAATTAATTAAATCTAATTTAGTATATTATATTTCATACTTGCTGTGAATTCTTATTTAATGTAACTCAGTACAAATAAAATCTCTGACATAATTTTCAAATTGCAAAAAGGACCGACTGCTTGAATGGTTTTAAGTAATTTTAAAATTGCAAAAGTGACCCTGATTGAATGGTTTTAGGTGATTGAGACTATTGATCATTTGTCACAATTTGCAAACAAGTGCGAAAACCATATATATCCACATCTAAACAAGTAGCGGATAAACTATTTTAGGATCTTGTGTATGCAATTCTACTCAAGTGCATTATTTTAAAACTTTAGTACAATTATTCCTTAAAACTTTAGTACATTATTCCTTAAAACTTTTAAACAAAGTTTCCTAAAGTTGGTAGAATAAATAATAAGAATTTTGTAGGACAATTCATTGAGAGTGCATTTTGTACGAATATTTTGTACATCTCAAATTACCACTCCATATAAATTATTATTATTATTATTTTTTGATACACTTCATATAAATTATTATTATTATTATTTTTTGATTAAAAGAATACACCTTGGCAAGGTGATCCACAAGAGATAGTTTGTTTGATATATCTTCATATTGATTCAACTCACACTCAGCTTCATTGGCAAGAGATTCATGACTCGTAAGTATATGTATACACATATATGTATACTGTGTAGTTGGTTAAATCTATAAATGGTACCGGACTACTGGTTCCGACCGTGGGAACCATTGGCACCTTGGAATACATGAAACACAGGAGTCCGTTACTCGTGAATTGGCGGGGATTTTTCATTCTTTTACAAACAATGAGATTGTTTATAATTGACCTTCTTAATGCTGTAAACTCGTAAATTAAGATACTCAAAATAGAATACTCTCCTCTCTCTCTCCTTCACCTTTTCTAAATGCGTTGAGGGTACTCCATTCCTTTCCTCCTAATCCAAACACCGCATTTCCTCCCCTTCCTTTTTACTGTCTCACGGTATGAAAAGACCATGTTTGGTAGGTGAAACACAGAGTAGGATACGACAGAGATGGAATCAAACAAACAAGTGTGGAAAGTTTGGAGACGACAAAATCCTCTGCAGTAGTAAGAAAGGTTTTCCACAAGCATCCACAAGTTGGACAGAGAAATGTGGAGGCACTTTATGTAATAATGAACGGAATTTCCTGTAATTATGTTATTCTATGAACAATCATAATTAAGAAATTCCAATTTTGACACACAAGCTTTACAACATACCAAATATGTCCTGATTATTGTACAAACATGGCCTGGCAATCGTTCACAAAAGGACATTATCAATCTGATCCTACCTTTTCTGGCATTATTAAGATGAAGAAAGCATGGATGTTTTCAGTGTGGGTGAAGCTTGCTTGCTATCACAGGCATGGAGCACAGTGCATATGTCTGCAGTTTCCAGAAACTGCTCCGTATTCGCTAGGATCAGAGGCCCATATTCAAAAACCAGAGTTTTACACTGCCAAAAACAAAAGAAATAAATTGAAAATAATAGAATAATAGTAATTAAGATACTTAAAATAGAATTTCCATAAAATTTAGAGCTAAAAATAAAAAAAATATCCCTAATCTTTTTGGATTTCACTTTCTGTTCAGACTGTGTTCAACAGGACTATCAGAACCAGCTGGTTGAACACCAAAAAAGGCCTGGTTCTACATGGTGCAAGACTTCCTGCCATAGAAATAATGACATCAAACCAACTAAAAATTTCACTCAGATTCAGTTTTTTACTTTTTGTATATATTGTTTCTGTTCATCTATTTTTATATTGTCCAAGGGCGAGGAAGTTGAAACACAGAGACCTGGAAATCCCACTTATAAAATTCAACCTGTTCCCATATGTAAACATATCAGATTCCAACAAAGGTGAACATTTTTTTACGAAAGGTGGCCATAAAGTAAGCAACTAATTGTCCCAAATGAGAGCAAACAGTATACATCAAGTCAAATTGGAATACATTTTCATGTGTAAATTTTGGTCATAAATTCATTAACTTCAAGTCTTATGAGGTCTACAAAATTAAAATCAATCAAGCAGAACAGTGGTAATTTCCTTAGAATTCCCGTTATGCAGCAACTGTCAGATGTTTTTTGATAAACTGGGGATAATCTCTATTAAAGAGTCACTACGAAGTTTGCATGGTGATCCCCAAGCATGTCCAAATACGTACTTACTCGACTTCTATGATACTTGGTTTGTACTCGCATAGCATTTATTTAGTTGGATCAATGAGATGGGCAGAGGAACAATTGTGGTGGAATTCCTAGAGAGCACCCAACGAAGAGATCTCATATTTTACTATGTTACTGATCGATTGAATAAAATCTACAATCCATTACTAGCAAGCTATTTATGATACCCACTAAAATAAAGAGGGAGAATTGATTTATGGACATAAGTTACAGAATAAATAATCTCATGATTTTTTCAGTTAATCAACCCAACAACATCAAGCAGCATTTATAAAAGATAAACCAATAGATGCACTAAAAATCCAAGATTTCAGATATAAGTTCTTGAAATTGTTGTAACCTTTTTCACATAGTTCTCCACTGCATCACATCCCTTCAGAAGCAGCTCAATTATTTCCAACTGAAAAAAAAAAAAAAACCACAAATCAGAAGTAAACCACATTTTACAAAATATCCATGTAGCAAACACTTATTAATTATCTGAAACAATTTACAATAGATATGCCTTTTGGCTATATGAATTAACGTGGTCATTCCAAAGCAGGTAGCAACACCGACACTACCTGAGACAATTTATCACTCACCTGTCAAACAGGATAAACATGATACCCCACTCTCTTGAAATGCCATGTAACAAAAACTTGTTAATTATCTTACACTGAATTACAATGGTTCTGACCCTGTTAACACTATGCAGATGCTACAGCAAATATCAAGACAGGCACACAGCCGTCATTGTTCAGTGCCAGCTGTAGTTGCACCAGAAGTGTTTTACTCAAATAGGCTCTATTATAAATTCTGAATCTGTTCTGGGTAAGCGGGCCTTTCATTCTGCATCTCCAACAAAATGTTTTGACGGAGTTTTACAAGGTTTGTCACAACTTTATCACATCATAGTGCCATGAAATGAAGTAATCTTGAAATATCTCTTATCGTTGAGCGCAGGTACTTCCTCGTATTTTCTTTCCCTATTTTTTTATTTTAATTTTTTTCTTTGGAGAAATATATACTGAAAGTGTAATTTAGATATGCAGCATCTGGATCATGCAAACGCTGAACCAGTCCCTTCAATGGTTATGGGAGAAAAACAGCATCAACTTCTACCGTATTATTTCCATACATCATTAATATATATATATATATATACACACACAAACGCGCACACGGCACACACACGTATCCAATCATTCAAATGCTAAATGATCAAAAGTGAAGTCAATGTAAATTGACAAATCCTTCTCTCTCTCTCTCTCACACACACACACAAAGTGCAAAGTTGCAAGTAAGCTACTGTCATTTGTCACATAATTGGACCATGATCCATCAAAAAGCAATGGGGAGAGACACTGAGTTACTTGTCCATACCATGTGCTGCAACCCTAGAATAATCCTACAGACCTTTACCAAACAGAAACCAAAAAAAAAAAAAAAAGGTAATTCATGATCCAAAAGTAGTATTTATTTCACCTAAATGTAGGACTTGGTTCCTCAAGCTTCCCGAATACTGTACATAATCAAATTTCCTAAAGAAAAATCTAATGATTGATGTACATTCCCGAATTGCTAGATTTTAACTATATGCCATGGAAACCACCATTAAAGTACATAATTAAAGCTATTGTTAATTGTGTAAACAATTTTAAGCTAAGAAAGTTGCAACTGTAAATTTCCAAATACTGTACATAATCAAATTTCCTAAAGAAAAATCTAATGATTGAAGTACATTCCCGAATTGCTAGACTTTAACTATATGCCATGGAAACCACCATTAAAGTACATAATTAAAGCTATTGTTAATTGTGTAAACAATTTTAAGCTAAAAAAGTTGCAGCTGTAAATTTCCAGATACTATTCATAATCAAATTTCCTAAAGAAAAAGCTAATGATTGAAGTACATACCTGCGTATCGGGATCTTTTAACTTTAATAAAACTTCTGCAACAGCACGATGACAAAGCCCACAGCTGTCCTCAGTTAGTTCCCGATAAGTGCTTACCATTTGTTCACAAAGATTAACCTTTCGACAGAAATCTCCAGGTTGTACTGAGGATATCTCTAAGAAGAAGAGAGGAGCATAATAGTCGACCAGAATGGCGCACTGCCAAAGAAAAATGTTATGGACGAAAATTATCAATTTTCAGTAAAAGAAAACAACTACCAGTACATCCCTGGACTTTAAGATAGACAGATTGTTACAGAAGCTTCAGCACATGTACATGGTTTTACAATTTAGCTTGTTTACAAAGTGGACACTTACCCTGCTAGTATATATCACATAGACCTCATCTGCACCATCCACGCTTGTGTTTTCCCCTCACTTTAATTTAAGGCTGTTTAAGCTATATTTAAAAGGACAGTATTTAATATAACTCTTGGGATTTCTCACGTCCATGAACCATCACCATTAGCACTAGGTATGGCAACGGCGTGTGGGACCCCATCCCCGTCCCCACCCCTGCCCCCGTTTAACTTCCCTTGTCCTGTCCCCACCCAAAACCGTTTAGCAAACAACCCCCGCACCCCATACCCTCACCCGTTTAAAAACTCATATTTAAGAATATAAACCAAATAAACATTCTTTCAAAATTTACACAATTGAACAAAATAAACATTAACATTCTTCCAACAAGAAGGGTAATTTTGTATATAACACAAGGTATAAGGGGTAAAATATTAAATCCTCATTCTAAATGGGGTGGGGCGGAGTGACCTTCCCCCGTCCCTGCCCTGCACCCGCGCTGGTTTTCACTCCCAAAACCTGTCCCTGTCCAAAACCCTTAAACGGCCCCAAAAACTGTTTTATGCGGGGCGGGGTGTTTTGCCATCCCTAATTAGCACACCATGTGAAGCTTGAACATTCAATTAAGGCAGCTCGCTGATTGATAAAATAAATTAATCACCATGGCTAGATGATATAAACATTCAACCATTCAATCTATCACTGTTTTGACTTTGAGCCTAACAGCCACTTGGATATTTAGAAAAAAGGACCAACTACTTAAGGCTAAAATCATGTGGTTGCAGATGCTATTAGGCAGATGATCTCCAAGAAGGAATGAGTACCATCTAATGAATTCCTAAATGTTTATTCATTTGAGCCTACAAGTTTACAAGTTACACAGCACAAGCTTTTCAGTTTTTATAGCTCAAATTTATGGTGAGAAAATGAATTCTCCGTTCCTAATAGCAACTATGCAGATTTAACAGATAATGTCAGCTCTGCCAAAGTCAGTGCCTACCTCCTGTTTGAAATAGAGCAGCCGAGAGCAGGACTCGTGGAGGATGTCGATAATTTCCATCTGGGTCTTGTTTTCAGCAAAGTGGCCGAGTGCCTTAGTAGCAAACTCTTCACACAACATGCACTCCTTTTCGTTCCTGACAATTCCCTCTGAGGATTGAACTTCTTTTTCTGACTCCTGGTGATATAGCTGCAAAACTGTAGCCAAAAAGCATAGATCAGTTTGATTGTATCTCGTATATCACAAGCACGTTTACTCTTAATCATTCAAACAACCATACATAGGCAGCAGAAAGTAAACAAGATGCATGAATTCAAAGCATGTTTTTTGATAAAACACTTTAGGATCTCATACTCATTTGTCACAATTGAACATGTTATCGATACAAGCCAGATACGTCGAGATTCGACGACCCCTATCAATAAAGTAATTGAATGAACCAATTATACAAATGCAACCAAGTTCACAGGCAAAACAATTTGGATAGTGGTAAAGGACGAACAAAGTCACCGGGCTCTAAACTTCCAAATGAAGGACAATCATCAACCATATATTCTGGGCAAGTGTATGTGCCCAGAAATAATTCACCAAGTATCCTACAATAGCCCTTCAATAATTAAAATTACAATTAAAAATATAGAATCAACTAAAGAATTACCTGAAAAATCATTGATCACAGTTTCTCCTTTAGAGAGATCAGCGGTCACCAATTCTCTAGCATCAGAGACCCAGCTAGTGCTCAATATGAAAAGAATTAAAAATCCAACCTTTAAGCCCATCCTGCCTCAACTGAAAGCAATTCAATTCAATTCAATTGTAAGAAAAATAATAAAAGAAAGGATAAATAAAATAAAAAGAAGCTGTCCATAAACTAGCATGACAATCCATTCCTGAAAATAAGAGTTTACAATGACAATTTTCACAAACCAAGAACCCTGGCCGTGTTTTTCTTTCTCACTATGACAGCTAGAATTCTTGGGTTGTTGAGACTAGATGAGCTATTCATGAGCGGGCTGCTTACTTTCTCAGTAACAGCCCCAAGCCAAATTTCCAACATGAACATAGTACCGCCATGTTAATAAGCTTAATCAAGCAAAATTTGAGGTAATCAAATGGTGAAAATAACAAGTCCAAATAAGTTTCTTATAAATCTGGGCGTCTAAAAGACCTAGGCAGAGCACCAAATGAGTTATTGACAACATATTTTTCAGAGTGATTCAATTAAACCTAATGATTTGCCTCAAATTTAACATTAGTTTTAATAAATAGTCTTTTGAAACCAAATTAAGCAGACAACCCAGAAATCAAATCTATAATCCAATCCAATCGAAACCCTAACAAACAGAACCTAATCTTTAAGGAATAACAACATATATATACAATATATAACCCAAAATACAATAATTAACAATAAAAAAGGGAATTATTTTACCTTTCGCAGAGGATGCGTGTAGGATCTTGAGGTTAGAGAGAAGAGAAGAGGAGAGAAGAGAAGATAAAGAGGGGAGAGAGTTGGGAACTGATTCTTGCTTGGGAGAGATGGATACTGGGAAGAGTTGAATATTCGTTGGGTCACCCCCACTTGGTTTGTTCCTCCACATGGACTGGACTCAAACCTTTTCCCACTTATACTGTATTTCTCATGTCACCCTCAATAACATAATAATTACAGAAAGGTTAATTTCTTAACCCTAAAGTCTAAAGAATTGACATATATTTTACAATATCTTTTTTTTTATTTATGATCACCTTAAAATACTCTCTCTCTCTTCAAGTAATCACTAGGAATTAAGCAATCAAAATATTGAAACTTTTCCAAAATGACCCTTCTAGATTAATTATATAAAATCGGAAAATTTAAATAATTTTTGTAATGTTATGCAGGGAGGAAAGAATAGGGATGAAAGGAAAATATAAATTTCCTTTGTTCAGTACAAAATATATAAGGAAAGAAAGGATAATACTTCTTCACAAATTTTTATCCTCCGTCCAATACGCCCATATAGGTGGAAGATAGGAGAGACAAGCGAGCTTATTGTAAAAGTTTTAAATTGCTACATTACTCCTTCTTAAATATTTAATAAATCCCCTGAATAAAGTAAGATATGGGTTTTACGGTAATAATAACTTATAATTTTATCTCTCCTTTTATTCTACCATCAAATTAAATTTAATAAATATTTAATAAATTCCATAAATAAAGTAAGGAATGAGTTTAATGGTAATAACAACTTAAAATTTTATCTTTTATCCTGCAGATCAAATTGAATTCTTAATTTTTTTCATTCTCCTCCATCCAATCGAACAAAAAAAGGAAATGCTTAATCTCAGGGATGTTTCGGTCATCATTTATTCTCTCCCTTCCATTCAAATTTTTACTTCCTACCAAACCTAACATAGCATTCGAGTCGTTTAAAATATATACTTTAATTTCTTAATTTTCAAGACACGTTTAGTAATTGGTTAATTATTATTTGAGTCCTCATAAAACTTTTAATATCATATCATTATTTGTGATAAGTATTATTATCTGAGTAGTCGATTGCTTATCGAGTTTTAACCTTGAACCTTTTCCCTCCCATATAATCCCAATCCCTTAACTTTCTTGTCATACTTATAGAAAGAAAAGAAAAGAAAATTTTATTAGAGATGTTTTAGTAGTGATATACATAATGTTTAATAGAAGACAAAAATTTGTGCAATTAAAAAATATTGAATTTTTTGTTGTTTAGAAAGGTTGAACACCGACGTCTCTAATAAATAAATTAAAATTATATAATCTAATCAATAAAAAAAACTTGTGGGATTAATGATTGATAATAGACGTGACGGCCAAACCAATGGAGGAAGACAAGAACCAATTATAGCAATTAGCAAGAATAATTTTGAAAGGATTCGTTTTTTCAGCAGATGAGATGATAATATTTTGAAAAATATGTAACAATAATTGAGAATTTTTTATTTCTGGGATATAAAAATTGGGCTGCTATCCTTTCCTTTGGGCCACATTAAAAGTCATTTCGGTAAAACATGTATATGTAAGCCCAGGCCACTTTTGCCTTCTTAAAAGCAATATGATAATTAAATCGAAGAATAGTAATTACTGTATGAGGGCAGTTTTTTATAATTATCATTCCAAAGATTTGAAATATTAGTCAAATTTGAATTGATTGAGCAAAAGTTTTTTTTTTTTATTGACCAGAAATTATCAACTATTTATAGTTTTTTACTGGTAATTTTGTAGCTTGTAAATGTAGCCTTTTCATGCCATATGAATGAATTATACTCATATTAATATCCTGTAACATTGTTATTAGTGTCTATGTCTAATATATTAAATTAGTATTTAAATGACTTTATTACCAAATATATTTAAATAAAATATCCTTTATAAAATGCTCTCCTGTGATATATACTTTAGTCAAAATTAATTATGAATAAAAAAATTAATTTTTTTAAAATAAATTTATCCTTTTTAATTCAATGTATGAGTCATTTTCAGATAGCATAATCGGGGTACAAAAGTAATCTTCATCGATAAACGGGTTAACGTTTAAACCCAAACTATCTGAAAAGATAAACTGTACAATAGAGGGCAAAGCCCAAGGGCAAACCTAAAGGAGCAACAAAGCCCAGCCCAGCCCAACCCAAAACTAACATTAACTTTAAAAAGGAAACCAATAATATAGTTTTAGTGACACATAGGTAAAACAAGAATAACAGGCCCATGGCTTTAGTGAGCCTTTTAAAATGATTTATTGGAACACTAGATACTAAATGTTGGAGGTGTCATTTGTTCCACTTCGGATCCGGATGAAAAAGCGATTGAGTATAAATAGGTGGGTATGCAACACTACCGAATAATTCGAGTTTTTGGATAAATGGGTAAGCGTCCACCCGTTACAGTTAGTATCAGAGTTAGACCTAGTCCTTGATCGATGCCACGCCAAGAGCTTGACCCGAAATGTGTCCGGGTGAGCCACCCTCGGGTAGGCAGGGTGGCTTGACCTCAACGAGGGTGTTGCGAGTTCAGATGGGGGAGAATGTTACAAGGGTCATTTGTCCTATATCGGATCCGTATGGAAAAATGATTGGGTATAAATGGGTGGGTATGCAGTACTACCCAATAGTTTGAGTTTTTGGGCAAATGGGCAAGCGCCTACCCATTACACTAGGTCTGTTAACGGATCAAATCAACCAAATTCATATATAATTTATTTAGTGTTTCAATCAATATCATAATTATTATGAATTCGGATTCATTGACATGGCAAGTTATAATTTATAAAGTTAGGTGGAGTGAATAATTATTAATATATAAGATGGTACATCATATAACCATGTAACTAAATAAATGTAATGGTAGATAAATATCAATATATATATATATATATATATATATATATATATATATATATATATATATAACTTGAATGATAAATAAATAATATATATAATGTTTATTGTAATTTAATAATATATAATTTTAATCGAATCTAATTACTATAGATCGGATTATCATTAATTCATTATATTCGATTTGTTAAACTAACTGGCTATCGAATTCGAATCATTATCGAGTTATCGAATTTTTTATTCAATCCATATTCTCATAATCGAATTCAGATCAAAATTTATTTCATTCATAGTTCTACCAGATACATTTTGAGAGGTAGAAACTTAACGGGGTAATTTGAATCAACTTTGAGACTAGCAAATAAGTTAAATTAAATCTAGAATTAGAAACGGAATCAAAGAATTGAAAGTCTACACTACATCCATGCTACAACCTATTACATTAAGAATACAATAATATTAATAATAGTAATGTAACATTCATACAACTTGTTATATATATATATATATAATTTTTTTTTTCTTGGCAAACTAGGAAAAATGGGGTAAAAAAAAAAAAAACTAATGATAGAGTGTTTCACTATTCGAAACAACAACTTAAGTTATTAGGTAAGACTAACACTTAACTAATATGTGCATATTTTATTTTTTATCTGAATCTGATATGGAACAAACAAGGACGGAGGAAATATTCAGAAATCCCGTGTGCCTCTTACATTTTCTCCCTCCTGATTTTCTATGTATATTTTTTCATTAGTATATACAACGTACCGCAGGCAAAATTCCAGAAAAGAAAATACGAAGCCAATAGGTAGTGCCCCATACGACATGTTATGTCAAAAATGCAAAACCACATAAAATATTAGGTTGAGTTATTTTGGAATTAAATCGATTGCTGCATTCTCCATTAATTTACAGCATAGTAGCAACCTTTTCAAGTTTTGAATGCACTGCATCCACAGTTCCTCTCACACATCATCATCATTCATCACTACGCAAACTCTCTCTCTCCACCACGAGAGGTGGTGTGTCAGAAATCAGGATATGATTGCTAGCTATATAAAAATCTATACATATATGATGACTGTAGAGAAAAAAAAGATATATTTAATTATATACCTTTAGTCCATGAGCCCACTTCGAGAAGAGTCTTGATGCATGGTGCGATGGACCACACAAATAGGTGACTGACTCCTTCCCACTCATTTATTTGCATGTTGAGGTCCATCCATAAAAATTGTCACTCCCTCTCTTCTGGTTGTTCCAGATCACCATCCATTGTCCCACACACCTCAACTCAATCCGAACCATCATAATTAATGCACATTATTCATTTCATCTAGCTCTTCAACTGTTTATATAATATTATATATAATATGGTGATTAAAACTAAAACTGATTTTTTTTTTTTTTTTGGGAATATAATGAATACATGAACTTAGAAGCTTTATTTTACTATCATATGAATTCAAAGGTCTTGAATTTTCAAAAAGATGAATTTAGGGTTCAATTTCCGTTGTTCTTCCTACCAAACCACGTGGTCTTTAATTTTTTTGTACATGCTATTAGTAAATAGACTCCAGATTGGCCAAAACCCTTTATAAGTATAATAAATGGGGCTTGATATTAATTTAGAGAATCGGTGTCATTAAAAGCTCAAGTGTGGCATACCATCTTGACACAAATCTTAATGTCAACAACTAACGTACCATCATATACATAATATTGTTAGATATATATATATATATATATATATACATATACATATTATATGAGCTCTTCATTGGCTAAAGCTATCCGCTCTTCTTCAAGTCAATATGCTCAGAACTAGCTCTCATCTTCCCCAAAAGTCCATGATCCATATCAAACAAGATGACAAGCCTCTCTCTAGGGTTGTGTCCAAAGAAAGCTCCATGGCCAACCCTTCTTTTAGAGTCTACTATGGAGTGTCTGGTGCAGTCCCATTCATGTGGGAGTCTCGACCTGGTACCCCTAAACACACATCTTGCGACACTTCTCTTCCTCCTCTCACACCACCTCCCTCCTACTACTTCAATAACAACACAAACAGTATGAAAAACTCGAGATCCGAATTCTTGAATGCCTTGTGGCTAAGGATTAATAGGAAGAAAGCGCGCGTGACAGTGTCACACGCATCACCATCGCTGTCGTCGTGGTCGTCGTGGTCGTCGCATTCATCCGCCATGTCTGTTCCAATGAGACACTCCAAGGTTCATGGTCAAAGCCGGCTTTCTGGCGCGAGATCTTCAACAAATTTGTTCCCGGTGTTCATCGTGAAGAAAGCTTTGTTGTCCGTGGTCAGCTGCAGATCTAGCTGAGGTAAACGATTAGAGACTCTAGCTTCATATTGGGTTGTATGGTAATTACTTCAGCTACCAAAAATGGCAATTGAAGTGTATGAAGTTGTGTTTTTATTAGAAGAACTATTATGTGTGTGTGTGTTTATAATAACCAAAACATCTGAAATTAAGCTTAGGTTATCAAGATTTTTGTAATCTTGATACCATTTATATATATATATGTATATCTTGACCATTGACTTGCCCACTGTCCCTCCTTTATTTTAATTCCCATTTATATGTATGTCCACTTAATTAGAGGATTGATTTTTTTAATTTTTTTTACTTGAAAATTAAATGTGTTTATAAATGGGAATTTTTATTAATGCACGAGTCAAAAACACTAATCTACTCTTAAAGATCTAAATTATAAATACCTTATTTTCAACTTATTGAAACCTTTCTCCCAAAAATCGTTTGGTCAAATAATTATTATTTTTGGGAGAGGGTGGAGGAGACACGGGAGGGAGCCACTGCGAAAATTCTTCGGGAGTGATGATGGAAGCTTCAAAATTATCTTGAAATTAAAATCGAGCTCTATGAGATCTAATCTCGCGTTATTTTCTGGTAGTTGAGTAGTAATACGGTGAATTGTTAATTTTTTTATTTTAATATACATCAAACACCCGGCCTAGACTATATCTTGATAAGTGAACTAGGCATATAAAAATTATACAGTTATTCACCACTCTGAGACAATACAATTGATAATGTCAGACGAATAAATTTTAAGAGTGCACATTAATTTTATGTGAACTAGGCATGTAAAAATTATACACTTATTCACCACTCTGAGACAATGCAATTGATAATGTTAGACGAAAAAATTTTTAGGGTGCACATTAATTTGGTTCATTAAATTAAGGATATACAGTTGTTTTGTGATAGCATAAAGCATATGTAGATGATTTGATGGAGGACAGTACAGTTACAACTTTTACATGAATGATATCTCAGTCTTTGTTTGTACAGATTACTTGTTTAATGCGAAAAGGATTGGTGGGGACAAGTTCCTATCTCAATATTTAATATCTTTTGGGTAAATAAAATTGTAAATTCATACTATTAAGGAACCAAAAGGGCTATATATCCAACAAAATTGAGAGCCTAGGGGAAATAAAGGCTATACTACGAATTGAGAGCCTAGAGGTGGGTGGAAATCAAGCGAACAAAAATTTTTTTCTATTGAATTTTTTTTTATTTTTTATTTTTATTTTTATTTTTTTCAAGCTACAAAAAAACACAAATAGAAAAATTATAAATCAGCCTTAATGGCTTGAATCAAACCAGGAAGCCAAATATCTCACTGAAGATCACTACACTTAGACCTGAGAGCCCATTGCAAATTTTAAGAGTCCAGAGAAGCTTCCAAGAGTACATATGAGGCAACAAATTACAAAGGAGCAATATTCTATTGATTGGACTAATTATAGTTCAATATGCAAGTTTATATGTACGTATTAATTTTATTTAATTTTTTATTTACATATTGAGATGTGATTCACAATTTGAAATGGTTAACTATCTAACAAATCTAGAGAGCTTGACTAGACCACTTGGATTAAATGTTTTCCCATAATTATTCAATGGGAAAATACATCCAAAACACCAAATGATAAAAACCTAGGGGTCCTACCAAGAAACACAATGATGAAAAAAAACTCAGATCAGCAAAAGCCGAGAAGCATCCACATGATCATGCCAAGCCATTGTTGGCACCAGTGCAAGCTTACAAAAATGCATGTTTGTCACGCTATAATTGGGTTTTGGTTTCCATATATGCCCAATTAATAACAAAGGATTTCAAGTCGGGTGTGATGGGAAGTGTGGAGTGACTGGAGTTTCGTAAACATTGTACACTAAGGCAAATCATTTCAAAATTCATTTCAAAATTCACTTACCATAATTCTATTCATTTCAAAATTTACTTACCATAAATATATAAACAATTATGGCATTTACCTCTAAAGCAAATCATTTTTCTTTTTAAACCTATCATTTCTTTGTTCACTATTTCCACTTAATCGTCAACAAATCTAGTCCAAATAGATGGACTAGTTCGTGGAAGAACTGAACTGATCTGAAGCTGGTTTATGAAATCAAACTGAACTTATTCATATCAATGGAGTCTCAGATTGGGCTTGGGCCCTTCTTTGGTTGCCTTATTCCAGGCTAGTTGAGCCACGGGCAACTTTTTGTTGGGCTTAATGGCCTCTCTTTGTACACTTTTTTTTCCAAATATATATATAGATATATTTAGGATCCACATCATGAAAATATTATTCGTTACAACAATTGTTACCAAGTCATTAGTATAATTAATCAATACAAGGAGTTACTCACAAGTCACAACCATGCTTCATGTGTATTGCCCCTAACAAGACTTATATATATATTCAATTTTCTTTTTTAAAAAATAGATCATACTCAAAATAAACCGCGTTATAGTAATGATTGAGAGTTCACACATCCGACTAGTTATAATAATATCGGCATATTTAATAATGTTAGGATGACATTTTCCTTCATTCAAGACTTGAGTTAAGTTTGCATTGCTTTGAGCTAGTCCTGAGTTTGAATTAATAAACAAATGAGCAAGTCTAACATAGTCATAGAAAAGAATTGAGTTGCTCTCTTATTAATTGTGTTTCGTTTTTTTCGACGTAAAAAAAATTTTTAATTTTTTTTTCAAGTAAAATAAATTTTTTATTTTTATTTTTATTTTTTGTGTTTGGCAAAGGTTTAGGTTGAGATTAAGATCGAGTTCATCAGATGAGGCGTGAAAAATACTTTGCCGAATATTGATGAATAAGTTATTTTTGATAAGTTTTAATATCTTTTTCTTCAAAAATATTTTACCATAACCAGATATTAGAAAACACAAAAAAATATTTTTTAAATTACACTCAAACAAATGGAACCTAAAAAACCTCAACCAAAAATTGTAGGGGTGGCAATTTATGTTCGTGTCGTGTCGATGTAAGGGTATTATACTAAATAGGTAAACCTAAACCCAAATCATTTAATAATTGTGTCAAGAATTCTTAACACTAACCCAACTTATTCATTAAACAGGTAAATGTGTTCACCCGTTTAATGACCTGTTTAGATATTTAATATTTAATCAAATACTAAATAATAGTAAAAATTGTCATAATTAATCCAAATATTCAAAAAAAAAAAAAAAAATCATAGGATATAGATAATATTTATGTTGAAATGACTTAATTATCAATAATAATAAGGTTTGAAAATGTAACATATTATATAGGTCATATTCACGATTATGACATATTAAGTTAAATGTATTATGAACGGGTTAAACCCTTCAACTTTGACCTGATACAGTTAAGTAAATAGGTTAATCGCGTCGACCCTTTTATGACTCAAATTTGTTTATGTCAAACCCAAACCTTTTTAACTCGTGTCGTAATTTGCCTCCCCTAAAAAATTGACAATAAGCAACTAAAAAAAACCCTCTTTTAAAATTAATTATCATTGAAGACTGACAAAGTGGATTGAAATAATAACAATACATAGGAAATAGAGATTATCATAACCTAATATGGGTTAAATACAATCGCCTCCTAAATTTGACCTAATTACACTAATTAAATGATAAAAAAATTTGCAACTTCCCTCGAGGCTGAAGCGTACAGAAGTTAAAAATTAAGATAAAATTACTTTTGTACCCCGGTTAATTTAGCAATAAAATGATAAAAAAAATTTGATTACATAAAATGACATATTTCCCCAAATCTCGTATTTCCCCTTAGTTCTCTCTCCTCTATTCTTAACTCTCCCATCCTGAATCACAAGCCAATTTCCCTCGTTTATATCACGCGCCGCCAAATCCAATCGCATACAACATCTCTCACCGCGATCGTCTGCCATAACCACCAAAATTACTGTGACCTCCACGGCTCCACCACCATAGCATATAATGAGCCTGTTATTTGTACACAATATGTATTGTCCCTAACAAGACTTATACATATATATATATATATATATATATATATATATATATATATTCAACCATCTGGACTAATATCACATGACAGATCCCAATATATACCAGATAGTGACTTCAAGGAGGAAGAATAACCTTTATTAAAGGAGGGTTATAAATTCTCGATGGCTGACCTAAATTATAGAATTTTTTGCTTCTTTGTGAGGTGTAAGAAACTTAATTATCACTTACCCAAAAAAAAAAAGAAACTTAATTCTCTAGTTGAAACCATATATATATAGTTCTTATTATTTAACCTAATTAAAAAAATTATAGTATAAGAATGTCCTGACTCAATTATACATTCAGCTGAATTAGTATTCACAATAGGAATGACAGAATATGGACACTTGCTAGTACTGCACAAGCTTGAAATTAAGCTTTCCATGAATATATATTAAAAAGCCATTCTGCATTAAACCAAGAAACATTTTCATTCTGCCTAGATATTTTAGTTTTGATTAGATAAAAATTTAGTACTTCCTTTTAATATTATATATGTGTGTGTGTGTATATATATATTACTTTCATGGGCTACAAGGAAAAAGAAAATTAAGATAGAGATTGAAGTAAATAAAGAAAGTGGAAATTAATTAAGAGAGAAAAAATGGATGGAGACATTAGCTAGCTAGGTTATTCCTTCTCACTACTTTGGCTCCAGTTCCTGATAGCTTGCAGCACCGCTTGTTTGACCACTTGAGCATCTATGCTATCGTGTTTTCCTTGATTCTGAGAAATAAAGAAAATACAAATTTTAATTAATAAATGAACTCTTGGATCAATCAGTTTTCAATTCAATTATACTAAAACAAATATAGTTTACACACACACACACACACACACACACATCAATAATATAAAAAATGCATGGATTAGTGTAGTGCAGCGTGCACCCAGTATCCACAACCTTGTAATCTATTGAATTGATAAATTTTTTTTAAAAAATTACAGGCTTAAGAAATTAATATATATATATATATATATATATAATATAATAGTAGCCACTCATCAATTTGTCAGTACACAAAATCAAAAATCCGAAATGAGTGGTTCAAATCTTATAACGCTGATTTGTACAAGTCACACGTGATGTTACAAGTAATAAATGAGATTAGAGTTAAGAAGCTAAAAAAACAACAGGACGATTCAGATAAATTAATTAGCTGATTGATAAATAACAATACAAGAAAAAGAAAAAGAAATTACATCTCCTCCAACAGCTTCTAGACGGAAATTGTCTGAACAAGAAACCCTAGCATCGAGGACGTCAAGGCCCAGCTCTTGAAAAGCTTCCAGTATAGAGACAAGCAAGCCTGGGCAATTCTTTTCCGAAAACACGTTAATTAGGAAACCCTTTTCTAGAGTTTCCACTGTAACCTCCTGAAGTGTATATATATAGATAATTAATAATACTAAATGAATAAAGTTTATATAGATATATAGTAATACTATTGAAGAAGAGATGAATGAAGTTGTGGTGAATTATATATATATATATATATATATATATATATATATATATATATATATATGTATGTATGTACCATCGGTAATGGGTTTGAAATCTGTGAAGAAGTTGCAACTTCTTGGTGCAATCTTTCTACTTTATCCTTCAACTCCTCTATATACTTTGATGCATCCACTATAATTGAGGTCTTGTTCACCTGCACCCAAACAAATGATATATATATATCCACAAATTAATTGAAAAAAATGGGTAGTCTAAGATTCAAGTTCACAATAGACTTTAATTACTTTGTATTATGATAAAGAACTTGGAATTGAAGAACTTGTTGAAAATTTCACTAGTCCAGCAGGTTCGATCTCGTTAATTGAGATGATTACTTCTAGATATCTCACTAGTTGTTTGATATATATATAACACTTCAATAAATCAGATTTTGAATATTTATAAGAGAAATTTAAATGAATAAATTAAGATATAGCTAGAATCTACATATAGAGTTATGATATTCTTAAAGTTCTATTGAAAACATATATGCGTGACACGTTTATTGGGGATGATATATATATAGGATCTGTGTGTGTGTGTGTAAGGAATAGTAATATATATGTATATGTAGGTAATTAAAAGGTTCGGTGGGTGTGTACAGCAGTGGAGTGAGTAGCAGAACGAAGTTGTTGCAACTTTTCATATAGAGCCGCTCTCTTTTGCTCCCTAGAACCCATCCGGCCTCTACCTTCTTCCTCCTCTTACCAGCTTCAGCTTGATCCCAACTTCTCTCTCTCTCTCTCTCTCTCTCTCTCACACACACACACACACACAAAAATACACATATATGATATATTACAGCTAGCAAGTTTTTGAGGGGTTTTTAAAGAGAAGATGAGCTCTCAATTCACATGATTTTTCTCTCTCTCTCTTGTTGGTTTACTGCATGAATATGCCAGATATATGGGAATTACGACATTGCCACGTGATCATTCTAGACTACTGCTTATAATTGATGAATTAATGCCCTCCCTCTGGTGTGGTGTGGTTCAGGCCTGACTGACATCATCATAAAAAATGACTCATGCATAAAAACAGTAACCCAACATTGGTTGGTGAACTAAATTATTCATGTTTAACTTATATATATATATCATTGCTATGTAAAAACTTGCCCCACAAAAGAAAAGAAAAATTTAACTTCCAATCCATGGTGTTCAATCATATACTATATTACAGTAACTTATTAACTTGTGGTATATTTAGGTTACTCCTTTTCATATATATATATATATATATATATATATATATATATATATGTATGTATTATGTGTACGTCTTTGGCTCTATTAGATTCAGATTGTATTAGAGCTTCTGGTTGAGCTTGATTTTTGGTTGCCAATTGCTTTGTTTCTGGTTGCTGGTTGCTGCTCTTTGACAGTGAAGCTTGTACCTTCTTTAGGTGATTTGTTTATATATATGTATGTATTATGTGTACGTCTTTGGCTCTATTAGATTCAGATTGTATTAGAGCTTCTGGTTGAGCTTGATTTTTGGTTGCCAATTGCTTTGTTTCTGGTTGCTGGTTGCTGCTCTTTGACAGTGAAGCTTGTACCTTCTTTAGGTGTTTTGTTTACATTTTTTGTTGTGTTGCTTTTGCTTTGCTTTGAGCTGTTTTTTTTCTAGCCCCCAACTTGTCTTTGAGCTTTATTTGTTGTGCGTGTAATTTGTTGTCTAAAGTTTTTTGGATATTTTCCATAAAATTCACCTCTCATCCATTTTTTTTTAATAAAAAGAAGGGTAAGTATCATGAACAAATTATGTAATCTTGGAGTTGAACCGGAGAAGATGACCATTGTATATATACACACACACACACAACAAATTTTATACCACGGTCTGCTTTTGGAAATACTTGTCTCCTACTTAACCCTTTAACAGTGATTCTGTATATCCTTTCAAAAATGCATGGAAATGGGGAAAATGATTGATGGGATAGTTGATGATTACCTTTTTGTCCCTTTGTAAAAAGTGAAATCCTTTTTCTTTTTTTTTTTCATTTCTTTTGTTTTTTCCTTCACTTTAATTTTCAAGAATAATGGAGATTGGAGACTCATTACTAATATTATTATTATCTTTTTAGCCATAGTTCCATACCTACCTGCTCAAGATGCAAGGAGGAATGATTTCATCTTTACAGTTAATGTGTCACGATATTATTGGATGTTCGTCATTTTATAATATTAAAAAAAAAAAACTAAAATAATGAAAGAAAAATAAGGTGCACGGTATTCGTTCAAAAAACTAAATACTCTACCAACTAAGTTATTTGATAATGCTTGAAAAAAAAAAAAAAAACCTAATACTTTTAGATGGGACAAATTCATTTAAATATAATCTATTAATATAATGACAAATCAAATGAAAAAAACCTAGTACTTTTAGGTGGGTCAAATTCTTGTTTCTCTGTAGTCTGTTCATCCTAATATGTGGAAAGGTTAATAATAACCCAATCTTTGCTCCCAGAATCAATTTTATTCCTTTCTCTCTCGTTTTTCTTCTTCTTTCTCCTTCTTCTTTTACTTATGCAACCCACTCTGATGTAGAAGGGTTTGCCAATGACTCTGCAAATTTTTTGGCCTGCCTGAAGTTTAAATGGGAAAGTTGACAATTTATTTTTTTTTTTTATTTTTTTATTTTTTTTGTGCTTACTAGTTTTTAGTAATTAGATGTCATTTCTTATTATTCTCATAATTTTCAAAGATAGTTCAAAGAGCAGGATATTCCTTCATTTGTGTGTGTGTGTGTGTGTGTGTGTGTGTATCAAATTTCTCTACAACTGAGTTCGCCTATTCATTTTAAGCATTCAACCAATTTATATTCTGGCGTCGTCACATTCTTAATCTCTTTTTCTCTAGTTTAATTTAAATAAAATCTTTCGCAAATCAGATATTATAATCATTGTTCTAAATTTATAGGAGAGGATCGGAGGTAATGATGTTTCTGAATATAAATTTATTATGTTTCAAAATCCCTAAAACTCCGAGGTGAGTCAAATGTAAGCTAAGTTTATGTTCTATGGTTCTACCTTTGAAGAAAACATATTAGGTATGATCAGCACACCATGTTATTGTGCTTACCTACTCAACATGCTTCATTCAAAGAAAATGAGTTTCATTCCTTTTTGACATGGTTGCTAAAGAAAACTAAATTAGCTAGCTAGTGCGACATAGTCAATAAGAACCTTGACGGAAGTCTTTTCGCAGAATATATATATAGAAAGACTTACCAAAAAACAACAAAATAAATACTACTACTACACAAAAGAAGTAGAAATGAAACTGCAGGGTCAATTTGGTAAATGGACGTGACACTGACATTCAGGATGAGCCGTAGATAGCATTGCAAGGAAAGTGTTATCATATGAAATTACAACACCAAAAAAAACTCTTGTAATCGCTCATTTATGTGCACGTGATCTCAGTCCCTAAGAAGATCGTGTTGTATTATATTGTCTAATGATTAGTCTGGATCAATGATCTCCACGTCCTACAATAATTTTTCATGTATGGTCTAAATATTTTAGATTTATTAATTTTTTTGTAAATTCTCCAGAGTGTGAACCATCATGTACTGGATAAAGCTCACATCTATGTGAATTAGCATTCCTCCCAATTGGTATTTCTCATTTTGAGAGATTCCGGTGAATTATGCGGTGATACATAAACAAAAATTGAATTAGTATTGACATATTTATTTATGTGTCCTCACATAATTAGTCCGAAATTTTTGTGATTACGGGATCATGCAATAATTTTTTAATTTCTTAATTTCTCATAATAGGAAATGTTGATTCTCACACACACACACGACACACACATGAATAAGAGAGAGGACAAAAGATGAGGACGAGTGGAGAGAGACAGACTGGGGGAGTGTCTAGAGGAGGATCCCCCGTGAGAAGCGTTTGGAAGCATTTGACAGCTAATACAAATACTACTACTATTACACTCATACAACAACAGTATCAATATATCTTTAACGCCTTCCTTCGCTGCTTTCGATGCGCGCGCGCCCCTTCTATCTCTTTCTATTTTCTCTCTCCTCAACCCCTCTACTTCACGAGCCTCGTTCTTCCTTCCAACGCGTTTACTCTCTCTCTCTAGGTGTCATTCTTTTCACTTGCGTTGGTCAATTCGATCTTTTCGGTCATCATACATTATTATTATTCTACTGCTATTCCCAATTTGTGGGTGGAGTATTGGAATGGATCACTATATTTTACAGTAACTCATATAATTAATATCATATGACACACAGTCACACACATTCTCTCTCTCTCTCTCTCTCTCTCTCACACACACACACACACACACACCCCATAGACAAGTACTGCACATACTATTTCTACATGTGATTTCAACACATATATATTAAAGATAAAGACAAGCCAGATATAGATTATAGACGACACAGTAATATACAGTATATTTTGTATATATAATATAACAAATACATAAATTTCCTAATTCAATATTATACAATGGCTAAGATCTTCAATGTCATATTATATATATGCAGCTAGCGAAATCATCACTACAACTAGTATTACTATACCATAAGGAAAATGTAAGAGAATTTTTTGACCAAATACTCTGTATTGGTTATGTATGTAAAATATAAAGAAGTTGGACGCGTCACTTTCTTATTTAGGCAAGTTTCGAGATATTTTGCTCAACTATTGGACTTGAGCAGTACTACTCATATAATAAAGATCATGCTCTTTGATTGTAATCATTTTTAGGTAAAAGGAGCAGGTACACAATATATATAACCATTAATTTTTATTTAATATTATTATTTTTTGGAGGATAAGATTGAAAACAACAAACTACAAAGAAGACAATACAGATATATAGACAGAACTATATATATATATATATATGGTCACATTTTGTCCTATGAGTATCTATTTGTTCAAGTTGCTGCAGGATGTTTTGATCATAGTATTAAAAAAAAATGATCCAATGATTATATCAGTTCAGAGATATGTTGAAATACTAATACTATGGATGAAAATCTGTCTCAGCAAATAAAACTTTTCTCAAAGGTTTAACGTCAAATGTGATCTTGTTCAATTTACTGGGGAAAAAAAGAAAAATAAAAGAAAAGAAAAAAGAAGAAGAAATAAAATGTCCACCTTTTTGTATGTAATATTGTTGGATATTGATTTTGAAAATCTAATAATATATTAGTTAAATATTATATAATTAATGTGGATGAATATTGAAAATCTACTAATTAATTGGGGTTGGAAGATCGAGATTTGCAAAAGAGTAGGGTATGGTAGAAAATTAATGGAACCATGAACAAAAACTTGACCTAACACCATCTTCCTGCATAAATAATCTCTAGAATTCACTAAATTAAGCTCACCAAGACTAAAATGAAAGTCAACCTAGCTAATAGAATCTACGTACGCTCATATGTATGTATAGTCACACCTTCGGTTCTCGATCACTCATATCTCTTAATTGGCTTTTTCCTTGGTTCCCTTCTCTTGCATGCATTGCCTTGAGGAGTGTCCTAGCTAGCTCGATCACTTTCTTTTCTTCCTGGACACTTAGTGTGTGACTGTGTGTTCTGCTGTCCACATATTCTATATGTGGTGCAAAGCTTGATCATACTGTTTGGTGTTGCTGGACGTTGAACAAGTTAAAAAGTGAATTTAGGTTGATTTTTTAGTTTTACTCGTATTTGGTAACACAAGAAATTTGCACTTAATTTTAGATAGAACATGTTTCGACTCACTTAATTTTAGATAGTACATGTTTCGACTCAACAATGCTTTAGTTTAAAAATATTAAATTTCGTTTAGCTATAGAAGTACAAAGTTTAGGGTATTTTATTTACATTCCTTTATATTTTTCAGATTAGCGGAAAAAAACCCCTAAAAAACTATATATATATATATATATATATATATATATATATTCATATATATTATATAATGCATTACTAAAAACTATTAGACTTTCGAATAGATAACAATTTTTTGACAAACATATCGAATTTTTTTTACTTATTACTGAAAAAAAATAAAATTGAGAGCTCCTAGGTAAAAGAACATATAACAGCAGCAATATGTAACAAGCAGGCATATATTCAGGTGTATATGGCAAAATCTTGAGTCCATTTCCTCTAATTATAAGGGTCAATTATTATTTTTTGTTAAAAAATAAGGGTCAATTATTGCTCACTAAATATTGCAACAAATTTTTTCTGAACATGAATAAATATTTTCTTTTACCTTCCACCAAATAAAAATAAAAAACAACTCCTATAATCTAGGTACACCAAGAGTTTGAGCTCAATATCTCTTATAGTACGATTTACTGACTGCATAAGATAAAGTGATATTGAAGCAAAATAATTTGAGGACGATAACTTAGATGAAAAAATTGATGAAAGAGTTGACATCTACTAAAGTACTAATAGAAATGAAACAAAAAATAATATATTGATGAATAATTGACAAGTTTGACCTTAAGACTTATGCCATTTCTTGAAGAGAGATGACAAAAATGTTGTAGTAGGTATGTTGAATTTTATGATCACATACATAATTGAACAAAATTAATTTGTAGCATTTTCTTATTATATAGAATATTTTACAAGTAATGCAGAAGTGGGGAATTTGGTAGATATATATATATATATATATATATTTTATCCAAGTAAGTAAGCATAGAGGAATCTCAACAACCATGGAAATTTCCAAAAGAAGCCCAGCAAGATTGAACATCAACTTCAAATTAACATAGATGAATAAAAAAAAAAAAAAGCACTAAGAAGTTTTCCAATTTTCCATAATTGAAAAAGTATAGAGAAACAACAAATTTGATGCATTTTTTTCTTTTTTCTTTTTTTTGGTTAAAGGGTAAGCTTTATAAAATAAAAAGAAATATGTACATCATGAGTCAACCAACCACCCCAGGAACATTCTCCAAAGAAGTGCCACAAAAATTTGATGCATCTTGAATATATATATATATATATATAAACTTTCCCAGTTGCCAAACACTGTATGGATATGGGTGAGATTTCAAGAAGAAACAAAGGGTTACAGTTTAGAGGTACATTTTCACCTTCAAAAGTAAAAAGTTCTAGAATTCAAGTTTACGTGAATTTCTTGCTAAAAAAAAAATAATAATAATAATAAAAAGAGATCTCAATGATCTGAGTGAAAGTTATTGTAAGAGGGATTTTTGTAGACGCAATTGATATTCCAAAATTAATTGATCCGAACATTGTCTCCATTCCAGATGGACAAACCACAGCGTACCCACCTATTCACATGTGTGCATTAATCATCAGAATCAAACAACCCATCACACAGACATGTAACCTGTTCCAACCTTGTCTCTTCCCCTACTTCCAATCTTCCTCGTCGTAGGGTTTTAGGGGTATCACTCAAAATACTAGCCAGCAACCTTTTTTTTCTTCAATATATATATATATATATATATATATATATATATCATTCTTTGATTGTGCAATAGTAAAATATCTCACACAATTGTCATATACAAGCTTCTGCGTAATATTAATTAATCATGACGACCTTATATAATAGGATTGATTTTGTGTTCAGTGTGGTTGTCGTTTAGGTTTTTATTTTATTTTTTCTGTAAATAAGATTTTATTGAAAAAAAAGAAGAAAGAACCCAACTGAGCTAAAGAAGAGGTTGAGGTTGAGGTTAGCAAAAACACATTCTACATTTGATGGCATGCATAGCTTGGTGAGAAGAGAAGAGATTCCAGATAATTTCTGGAGTTCCTTTCCTTTCTGAAGTAATATATAAACATATATTGTATTCATAACCGTTTTAATTTTTTTAAATTTTATGAAAGGTTTTGTATTCATAACTTTGTACATCAAAGACCCCGTTCCCTTTTTTTTTTTTTGAGTTGACTTGGTGCCATGGTAACTTTATTATAAAAGCAATAAAGTTATTTAAAATTGCCTAAGACAAGCTAAAATCTGTCATTAATTATTCCGATAGTTTGCAATTACGTCAGAACCCCAGACCTCCCTTTTATGGAGGAAGCGGTGATACCACTGAGCCAATTGGTCCTTTGGTAATCTATCAGCTTTAATATGCAATTTTTTCAAGTATAATATCATATAAAATTTAATTGTTAAAAAAAAATTGTACATTACCCTGAATAAAAAATAAAAAACATTTATATAAGGAGCCTAAAATAGTTTTGAACACTCTTTTATTTAATAACCCATTGAAACATTTATTATATGATTAATTTAAATTTTTAGACGTATAAAAAAAGAACTCAATTCAATAGTCAAGTAAGACGGGTTGATTACCATTTGTCATGAGATGACCATCTTGAAAATATTATTTTATTTTTAATGACACATTTCTCTTAAAAATGAATAATAAAGTCATTGAATTGTAGACGTAGTTCAAAATAAACTATTTTACATTTCTTCAGGAATTAAGAACCTCTTCTGTATCTTTTTGGTATTGTGTTTGTCTTCTGTATTTATATCGGCAGCACAATAATTTTAAATCGTCAATACAATAATTATATAAATATGTTAAACTCTTAATTTAATGGTGTTACATAATTACAATGAGTAATATGATGGACATATATTTATATCTTCGATATATATGTGTTATTTGTGTGATATGTCTTTGTTGTCGTTGTTGGTGTTGCATAATGTTGCATCTCGTGATGTCGTGTTATACTGTGAATATAATGTGTACTACGTGATGGTGCTTAAGAATAATGACATGAATGGGCCAGGCCTTTGCCTGTTGGGCTTCTGTTTGATAAAAAGAAAGTTTATGGGCCACCAAAAAAGAAAAAAACATATGGGCTTCCCAATGTAACCTGCTTTCCTCCGACGCTTCGTCGCCTTCTCACTTGCAAATTACGATTCACAAACTGAACGGAAGATCAAAAGTCGAATACATTCCATCACTTCGGGAAAAAAGAGAACGAAGTGCAATGGATTAACCCTTCATTTTGGCTACTGAGTATTTAGTTTGTGTCTGTGTGTATATATTATGCTGCGACTTCTACCCTCTCCCCATATTCTGTTGCGCTTGTTCTCCCTCAAATTTTCTCGGCAATTTTCTTTTCTCGGGAAGATGAATCTTGCCAGGAATTTGCACCCTACTGCCAATTCTTCAATTCCCCGTCAACCTGTGAGTCTTCCTCTTTATATTTATTTCATTGTTATTTGATTTCTCAATTTACCAAATATAATTTTTTTTTTTATTTTTTTAATTAAGGTTTGAATTTGTCTGCGACATCTTTGACTGTATTCTATCCACTTTGTATATATAAGCTTGTTATTCTGTTCCTATAGCAAATTCAATAGTTCCCTGAAATTGCAGAACTCAGCAATGGAATGTGTAATGCTTAAAATATTTAGGATTTCAATTAATGGTTTGATGAAGTTTTGAAGTGGTTAATTTTGTGTAGATTTAAGATATTGCTAGTTGCCTGCTGAAATTGCAATTATGGAATAGAGGGTAGGCAATTTGCTTGTGGATTTGAGTGGTGGTGGACAATATCCTATGTTTGTCAATTAGGTTAATGAACCACCATGGCATTACCCACCCAGTGACCTAGTTGGTAGAATGCCCAGCTCTCTGAGCTTGTGTGTTCGAGTCCCCTTTCCCCCTAGTTTGCCAGGATAATTAATAATAATAATAATAATAATAAAATAAAATAAAAAAGTTCACCATAAGTGGTATTTCATGTCCCTTCAATTTAAAAGGTAGAGAGATTGAGTCTACCAAAGTGTAATGTGGGAGTTAATTGCTGGGAAAAAAAGCTTAATGATAATTCAACAAGGAAGAAAGATGGCATATTTGAGAAAATTCTTGTCTTCCTTTGAAAATGATAACAGGGTGGTTATGGCGTTGGATTGTATTCACTTAGGCTCTATTCAGATTGAAGGATTTGAAATGAATTAGTTATTTAAGAAGAATAGCTTAAATTTAAATTTAAGTTTTAACAATGTGTACAGATTGATTTGAGAGGTAAAATAAAAAAGGATGGCATATTTGAGAAATTTTTTATCTTCCTTTGAACATGATAACCAGGGTCATTATTTTGTTGGATTATTAACCAGTTTTAACAATGTGTATAGATTGATTTGAGAGCATATTTGCATAAATTTCTGTTATAACCCGTAAGGAGTTATTTGAAATCTATGCTATTAAAGATTCTAGTCGCATGCGGATTGATATAAAGTGTCTTCCATTCATCTCATCTTACACCTTCAGTTGCTGATCATCTGTTTAACCTCAAATCCTATCATTTCAGACATTCATTTATCAAAATGCACCTCTATTGCCTTCAAATACATTCGTGATAAACCAAAATTTATTTTTTACTAAAACCTTTTTTTACTACAAACAAACAGGTTGGGGCGCATGGGCCTTCTGTTTATATTACATCTGGTGCCAATGGTGGAAATTCCCATGATCGAAACCAAGATTCTCATCAGAGTAAAGTGAGTGATTTTACAGGACATCCCAATTATTGTTCTACTTCTGATTCTGCCTATGAGGAAGATTTTCCTTCACTTTCTGCCAGTATTAGTTCTGGTTTAAAGAGTAAAAGGAGAACTAGGATTGATTTGAGAAGTCAGTTTGAGCAAAAATATGAGGAAGAGAGCGGGGACGTTGGTTCAATGCAACTTGAGACCACCCCCATAGCAAAATCCACAAGCCTGCAGGATGATTATTCTCTCCCTACTAGTTTTGGGAAGAAGCGTGTGCCATCTCCCAACAGAAAACCAAAGCATTATAAAAAATTTCCTGCTTATTCTGGTACTGGAAGTGTTGGAAATTCAGTAAGTGCTGAAAGCTTTGCTGCAAACAAACCATTTGATATCTGCTTCGCAAAAAGCATTAAATCTGTTGTACACCAAGATTCTTCACACAGAAAGAGTAGGAAAATGTGGATTTCAAAAGAGCATTCCACAGATGTGACTGGACAAATACTGAGGCCTGGGATGGTTCTACTGAAAACTTACATCACCCTCAGTGAACAGGTGCTATAAGACCATCACTTCAATTTGTGAATTATACCTGTTAAATTTTTGATTCTTTTTTTTTTTTTTTTTTTTTTTTTTTTTGAATTATCATTATTTTTTTCTGTTTAAGTGAGTAAGTTTAGTGTTTTGGTCTTGCAAATTGTTTTTGTGAGCAACAGGCGACAGTCATTCACCTTGCATGAGTTAATCTTTCTGAACATTCCTTATCCTATGCTACCAAATTTCTATATAACATTTCACATCCAATAGACAATTGGGTCTCGATGCCAATCTATGTTTTTCAAATTTTATCTTGGTTGTGTCGTATACATTACCTTGGATTCTATATTAGTTAACTCTTTATACCCATCTAATTATTTTAGGTTAAAATTGTGAAGAACTGTCGAGAGCTTGGTCTTGGCCCAGGGGGATTTTACCAACCTTCTTATCGTGATGGAGCCAAACTTCGTCTGCAGATGATGTGTCTTGGTAAAAATTGGGATCCTGAGACAAGAAAATATGAAGATCGTCATCCAATTGATGGTTCCAAACCTCCTTGTATTCCTCGTGATTTTATTTTGTTGGTTGAAAGAGCCATTCAAGATTCCCATGTTCTAATTAAAAAGGACTTAAGCGTGAGCAAGGTGGAAGAGATACTTCCTGGCATGTCTCCTGACTTATGCATTGCCAACTTTTATAAAACCAGTGGGCGACTTGGCCTCCACCAGGTCAGTAGTAATTTAATTTATATTACCTAATCCTAGAGTTGTTTAAGTAATATATATTTTCACTACATTATTAACACAGAGAGAATAATATTTCTCATCAAAGCAAATATCAATATTTACTTGTCCGTGATTAAGCAACTTAAAATTGCAAATATAGTGGTGATCACAAATATACTGGCGACCTGCAACTTGAAATTGCTTGCTTTTATAGTACAATGATCAAGAAAGTCTAAAGATAAATTTTCAAAATGAAGGGCACATTTAGATGTCTCCTGCATATTGAATTGCCCCTTTATTTTGCACATAATGTTACCTTCAATAAAAATCTTGATAGAATAGAAGCATTAGGAAAAATGGCAGCCATTTTAACGAATGATTCAAATTACATATTAATTGAATTGAATATTTCAGGAATTCCCAAATTGATTCTGTTCCTTCACTTGTACTGAAAACGAACCTACATTTTTTAAGGTTCATATTAGTATGTGTATTGTTTGCAATATACTGGTTTAATTTAGCAGATGATAACAAAATTTGATTTTAAATTTTGTATATATGACAGGTGAAGGTATGCTTCAATTAGATGTTAGGATTTTGTTGGTTTGTCCAGAAGTTTCACATATTGTATTTTTAGAAATGAAAGCTTGTATAAGAACGTATACATCTGGCTTACTTGAATGGCTTTAGGTTTTGGTATATATGATATTTGTGATAATAACTTTCCTTGTTCTAGATTACCGGATGATGTATTTGCAGCATGAACTTCAGAAACATACATATTCTTCCTAACAATTCATCCTACCGTTTGTAAACACAGGACCGTGATGAAAGCTTGGAGAGTCGTAACAAAGGATTGCCTGTTGTCTCCTTCTCTTTTGGTGACTCAGCAGAGTTTTTATATGGTAATCAGAGGGATGTGGAGAAGGCCGAGAAAGTCTTACTGGAATCAGGAGATGTGTTGATATTTGGTGGTGAGTCTAGGCATGTTTTTCATGGAGTACGGTCCATAATCCCCAACTCAGCTCCCCCTGCTCTGTTGGGAGAAGCTAGTCTCCGTCCTGGGCGTCTCAATCTTACGTTCAGACAGTATTGACAAAGCAGCCATCGACTCCTTAGTTTGCGATTTGTTTGAATTGGTTCAGACTTAAATGTAAGATGATCAATTTCGAAATTTGTTCTTTGGCATCATACTGCTCAGCAGCCAAACGAGTAAAATAGTGTAATACTTCCGAAAAAGCTTTTGTAGATAATTATGTATTGGGCTTTTTTTCTTCTACTTCCACAAGAAGTGCTTGTAGCTGGATGTATGAATCGTGTTTATGCTGAGCAGGTTTTGTTGGAATAGCAATGAACCAGAACAAAAAGTTGATTTCATTGATTGACGCACCTTGGACGTAAGTTTAATTATCAGTTCAGTGGACAAAATACTGTGAAATATTATGCAAATCGTTATCCTTTTACAAGCTTTGTATTTTTTGGTGTTTGGTTGAAGTTGAAAAAGAAAACCCAACTTTCACCCACTCTGAGGAAGGAATTATTTGTATATTGCAGGTTTCTAACGTTTGTCATCCGCAACGAATCAAATAAAATAAAATAAAATAAAATCTCAATTATGTTAATTATTTCAATCTTTATTGATTTTTTATTTTTGAAAAGTAATAATGTATGAAAAACTGACAATTCATTCTTTTATTTACCCAAAAGAACAATTTAGACGTTAAATATCATAATTTCTTTAATTTTTAGTTATTTTACTAAAATGTAATGACTCAAACTACTTAGAGTATTACATACAAGCATATAGTATATGTGTGTGTTTATATATATATGTTTTTTTTAACTTGATAAGAAATTCACTCTTTTTTAATTGTGTAAGGAATTTTTTTTTCTTTTTAATAATAAAAAATTAAGATATATATATATATATATATATATATATATATATATATCTATATGTATAAATGTAAAATTTTAAAAATAAATTTAAAATATTTTAAATTAAAATTAACCTGATAAATTAGGAGAGGGGTATTCAAACACACCAAAGCTGATAATGCCCATTTGAAATTATTTATTAGCTTTGTATTTAAAATTTTTTTTTTTGATAAATAAATCTTTTAATATATTTTGATTTCAACTATCCCCTCCACCTGTTCTCGTTGTAGGTCAAGGGCGGTCAAGGAGGTGAAGGGCACTCATACTAGGGATGGCAACGGGGCGGGTTTCCCTAAATCCCGCCCCACCCCTTTTATTTTTTATCAAGTCCACCCCGCCCCGAGACCCTCGACGGGTTGGATTTTCCTGTTCAGTCCCGTCCCGTTGGGAAATACTGCGCCCTCGTGCCCGTCCCGCTAACAAATTTTTTTCTCCCACTTTTTGGAACTTAAGCTCATGCTATTTGAATGTGTAAAGCCTGGAAATGGCACAACATAAATGAAATTATGTATCCCAACAAAAATAAAAAAAATAACATGCACATAAAATAATTCAGAGAATATAATAAACAAAAATAAAAGTTTAATACAACCAATAAGTTCTAAACTCCAACTTCCACCATAACCAAAACAAAAGCAAATTTATCACAAGAAGTTCTAAACTCCAACTTCCACCATAACCAAAACAAAAGCAAATTTAATACCAAGTTTATATATATATATATATATATATATATAAAAAAAATATAGTTATATGCTTAACGGGGTAGGGCGGGGCGGGGCTTCTAGGATATGTATATTGAACCCTTACCCACCCCGTGACCCGCGACGGGTACAAAATTTGTATCCATGCCCGCCCTAACAGTATAAAAAGTGTTTCATATCCTTTATTAACGGGGCGGGACAGAATGGAGCTCCGACTGGAGAGTAAAAATTGACATCCCTAACTCATACTTATTTGAAATTGATGCACGTGGAAGTGCGAAAAAACAGGGACAGAAACCGATATAACGCAAATGTATATTGTACAGTATACATTACATATAGGTATGCATGGTTAAATATAGTACAAGTATATAAATTCTGCCCAGCTGTATTATGTATTATGGTACTCTCAATACATACAATTACTAAGATACTCCTTGAAAAATAAAATCAATAATAAATTATAAAGACATGCATGGTTATATATAGTGCTAGTATATAAATTCTCTTTTTATTTCGGACACTCTTCTTCGTTCTGCCGCACTGCTCTATATCCGTCACCTTCTTCTTCTTCTTCGATACTTTGATTTTCTAGGGTTTCCAGAGCCTCTTCACACGGTTCTTTCGAGCTTTTATAGGGTTTACGGAGTCTGTTGCTTCTTAGAACAATTTCCATGCGCTGCTGTTCAGCAGCTTCTTGATCAGGGGTTTCCTTCTGACCTAGTGATAGGGCTTCGATTCGTCCGTCTCTACTATGAATTTTCATTGCATATGGTATCGTTAAATTAGGCCAAGTTTGATCGTAGGAATTTTTTTTTGGTATTTGTTGGTCGAGTTCGGATTTGAATGGCACTGGGAGATTTGAAGGCGTCTCGATTTTCGCAATCGTCAATTGCTGATTCGAATCAATTGAGTGAGTGTTCGAGCCACAGAGACGGTTATATTGTTGGGCAGAGAAAGGATACGGACTCTGAGACGGCGAGCTGTAGCTATGGCGATCCCACTACAACAACGTCCGCTACAAACATGGCGTATTTGCCGCAGACTGTCGTTTTGTGCGAGCTACGACACCAGCCATTCGAGGCTTATGTTCCCTCTGCTCCGTCTGATACCCTGTTGGTCTCAAAATGGCGGCCTACGGATCGAGTAAGCTATTGTTCTGTAATTCGCCTTTTACATCGTTGTATATTTTTAATTGAGATTTTGGTTATAAAAATTGTTTGGCTTTAGTGTTGTGCTCTGTTCAATGTAATTGCCTAAATTGGTTTATTTTTTAAAGGTTTGAATAAATTTGTATACAAGATGAAACCCATTTTATCAAATTCTATAATTATATCAAGCATGACTTGAGATGATTTTTAGCGATTAGGTTGTCATTATTCTTGTATTTCCGTAGCACTTTGTCAATGTCATCTGAAGACTAACAAGGCATTAATCTGTCCAGAAGAAATTTTTTTGAGCCTCTGGCAAGTTGCCATGGTTTTGAATGTGGCAGCTTGCAACGTTATGCTTTGATTTCAAATTAAATTTCACATTGGATTATTGTTATCAAAAGCTTTGACGAATTGACAGTGTTCATCTGTTTGAGCCTGGTTCTTTCTTGGTTGTGATCGGGTCTGTCAGTGGCCATTTCAACTGAAATTCTGCTAATGAAATGGAATATTTATTGCAATTGTCATCTATATTAAATGAACTCTTCAAATGTAGGTGAAGTACTCGTGTTGGAAACAAAATACTTAGACATGAGTATGAGAAATGACGACATGTGTCTCGCACTATTAATTGGACATGCACTTAAAAAACATTTTCGATATTTCAAATTTTTAGTATATTATTGCTTAAAAATTGACTGAAATGTCTATATCAAACACCATTTTACATAAAGATTTTATTTTGTTCTAAAAAATAAAATAAATATGAATATATAGCTGGTATCCATATGCCCTTATGTTTGGATATTTTGACACGTCTATTCCGTGGATACATACAGGTACCCGACATATATAGCCGAATCCATGTAACATAGGTTTCAGTATTGAGTGTGAATTGCCGCCTAATGGGGTTCGGTGATGAGGCAGTATTTGCACACTCTTCATAAGTCCATAGTAGACCTCCGGGGGCAAACAAATTATTCTGAGGTGAAGCTAAGCACTTGATGTGTTTCATAGACATATAAAATCTGAAAACAACTAATGGATTACCATTTCATCTCCCTATAATTTACTTATTTAAAATAAATCTCCTTATAATTTATCTCGGTGACAAAACTTTTCTCAAATAAAGCTGTTCCTTTGCCAGAGGCAATGATGAACTTGAATTTTGTTAAGCATTCCTGCAAATTTTTAGTGATAGAAATAGTATCATGAAGCAAATATCAGGTGAACAGACATTTCCCATTTGCTTTATCTGTAAAAATTATTTGTATTGATGAATGGTTTCAGCTTTTGGAATAAGCCTGCTTAGAGATTTTTTGATTTAAATACATACGCAAGCAGCAAAAGATCGCAGGCTTGATCTTCTGTGCGAACGTAGTTCTGTTAGTATCCAACATGAAGAGAAAATGAGTTTGAAACTACCTGGAGGAGGCCCAAATAATGGTGATGTGAAGTACAGAAAATTTGCACTTTGTAGTGGGGAATACCAGGAGAAGGTGAAGATGGTAAGTCGAATATCATGATTATTCGTCATTTAGGAACAAATATTAATCACGAGTAGGTTTGAAAATATCTCCTTCCTCTTTGTAATGTGGAACTTAATGCAAGCTCCAATGATTGTTGATTCTTCAAATTGTTTATGAGAATAGATATTGACATACAGTGGAAAATTGGCCCTTAAGACCAACAGGCGAGTGACCTAGCGGTACCAGGCTCCTACTTTCCAAAGGGTGGTTAAGGGTTCGAGCCTCAGTGGAGGCATCTGTGTGTGAGTACCAATTAGGGGGAAAAAAAAAAAAATTTGGCCCTTAATGTAAGCTGCAATGATTGTTGATTCATCAACCTGCCCTCAACATTGTGCTTTACAGGAAATTGTCTTATTTCAGAGTTGGTTTTGCGGACACATTTGAAGACTTATTTTCATTGGAATATAATTATTCTTAATGGTTAACTTTATTGATTGCTTGATACCCGTGATACTTGGAGCTTTCTGAGAGGCCCGTGATACTTGGAGCTTTCTGAGAATCCCTTGATCCCCTTGCCACCCCTCCTATTCCCTCATAACTTATGGAGCTAAGATTCTTTTTCACTATCTCATCTTTTGCAAACCAAAACCTGCTCTTATCCTCTTGTCCTCACTACTTTTCGATCTCCGCCTTTATCTATTGATTTAGAGAACTTCATAGCCTCATCAGAAATGTCATTCTTTCATATTTGTTTTGTTTCATACGATTTTTGTTTTTAACTTGAAGTTGTCTTTGCTCGGTGAGTATGGCCAAAGTTTTAGATGCTCTCTTTTTTTTTTTTAGTTGGAGTTGTCCTATCTTGGTTAGTTCCTCATTTTAGTGCATTCTCAAAAATTTATCAGTTGATATTCTGCATTTTTTTATTATATTATATGCATATATTCATATGTTTTGGTTTAATGCCCAACTGTCATTGCAGATGAAGACAGGGTGCGTTGCTCTTGTTTTATGTTTAGACATTGGCATTGATCCACCCAACGATGTGATTAAGATATCTCCTTGTGCTACATTGGAGTGCTGGATAGGTACAGTTATCACACTATTTGTTTTTCATATTGCCTTTCATTTCTTTGTGGTGGAATGTTTTTGCTGTATTTTGGTTCTATCTGCTGGTACTGGAAGTTATGAGTTATCATGGTTTAGTGTGTAATCCTTTAATATACTTATCAATAGTTTTTATCTAAGGAGACTCAATGACATAAAATCTGGTTCAAATGATTTGATAGATGATATGTTGATTATAGGATGGATTATTATTGCTTGTTTCTTGTCCTCTTTTTTTTTGGCAGAAAAACAAATATTTCTGTATCATTATATGTTACAGTTATTTTTCGATTCATCCTCCATAGCTTTGTTTGTATCTTGTAATTTTCTTTTATTTAACAATCTTCGCTTATTTATTTTTATTGACACATTCACTCACTTAGTACACATACATCTAAACATTGTCATTTTGACTATGCTTGTTTAGTAGGCTTTTTCTTGACTTGCCCAACAATTGCGCCATATAGAACAGTTGGTTATACAGCTCATGTAGTTCTCCTTTACTTCCTAATTCTTATATATCAATGAATCCATATGCTTGGAGCATATCATTGCTTCATTGGTCCATCTTCATTTCTTTGGTTAACATTACACTAAATATGTCCTACACACCTACGTTTTTGAAGTTATAATTAATGGCCTTTCTTGACTTGAGCACGATCAGTGTTGTTGAAGGCGTCTTCAGGCTCATACCGTCGCAACACTTGCACCTGTTGTGTGTCTGGGTGTGCCTTTAACAACATTTGCGCCTTTAATATGGAATATAAATATGATTTAATATTAATTTAATTAAATTGTGTGCCTCGCTTCACTCAGCCACGCCTTTGGCCTTTGATAACACTGAGCATGATCCTGTTTGAACTTAATATGTTATAATGATCATCAGGGGAATTTTGTCCGAGTGTAGAAATTTGGCTATGCTGAACTCACACATAACATAATCTTCTCCTAATGTTTATATAGGTACTTCGTAATTGATGTTATTCTTTGTTCTTGACATAAACTTATTGGATTGAGTTAGGAGACATTGGTTTATCAACTTCTCCCACAAATCAGTAAAAAATCAAGTTTGATAAAATGGAAAGCACACCTAGTGGTTGCGAAATGCAGATGGAGTCCATAAGTTGGTAACATCTGTTCTCTTTTTACTGGCCATTAATTTGATGAATCCTTCGCCGGATGTGCTTAAGGTTTACCATTGGCCAATGAAGCTCATCCCATTTCTTTCATAATGCAAATAAAGCTATGCAGAGCATGGCACCATATTTTGGAGTCATTTTTGGTTTCTTTTTGGCACATTGGATGGTTTTGCAAGAAAAGGGTTTGATACTTATTTTCCTGGTTCAGGCGTGATTTCTAGACAAAGAACTTTACTTTTTTGTTATTTGATATGCTGTGCCATCCACATAATGACAGAGAGAATAAATTAATAATTTGATGGCTTTTTTAGGTGGTTAAGCTATTGATCCAGGCGACTCATCAAACTTCCCTGGTTATGAAATATATTCTAAATGAAACATAATGGTCTTTCATTTTGATTTTTCTAGCTTATTGATTCAGTCATTGTGCAGTATGGTTCTGTAATGTGCACTTATACCCTCGTTATGTATCCTCTCAGATGTCGGTATGTTGACGAGTAAATTTGGTAATTTTGTCTCATTATCTCCATTCAGTGGGATACAAAAGAAAAACATAGCATTGACATTTCGTCTTGTTCCTTACTATGCTGTCATGTATTATGCCATGTTTGGCCTTTAACATGGTGATTGTACTGGATTCAGGTGGTTTGCTGTCTTTTCTTGTTCAGCCTCAGTTTTATTGTTATAGCTACGGAATTTTCTTTTATTTCATTAGGATCTTTAATTAAGATTTATTCTGCTGATTCAGTGGTTTCGGTGAAGAGGACCACTTTAAGATAGCAAGAAAATCGATTAATTCACTTTTGTTATCTTTTATTTGCTCCCCTTTTGTAGATCCATCGTCTTTGGCATCTGAAAGAGCCCTAGAAGCAATCGGTACAACCTTGAGTCTTCAGTATGAGAGGTGGCAACCAAGGGTAAGATATATATATATATATATATATATATATTAATTTATTTTATTTCTATTGTTGATTGTTAGTTACTTCATTAGGTTCAAGTTTTCACTTAACTTGTTTTGAGTTTTGATTAGGCTCGCTACAAGATACAGTTAAATCCTACCATGGATGAAGTGAAAAAACTTTGTACCGCATGTCGCAAATATGCCAAGTCAGAGAGAGTTCTGTTTCACTACAATGGACATGGCGTGCCAAAGCCAACTGCCAATGGCGAAATTTGGTTGTTTGATAAGGTTCTATTACTGATGTGTCTCTTGTCGTGCCATTTTAAGTTTATTGTTTGCTAGATTTTTGTAATGCTTTGACTGTGTCATTTGGTGTAGCATTATAAATATGCCCCTTTGCCATTCAGCGAACTTGATTTCTGGTTAAAAAGACCATCAGTATTTGTTTTTGATTGCTCTGCTGCTGGAGTGATTGTCAAGGCCTTCACAGAGGTACTAACATTGGCTATCACCATTTGATAATGGGTTCCTCTCTCTCTCTCTCTCTCGGTTGTCAACTTGTAATCATTGAGTTTGTCATCTTATTTATCTTCCATATTCTGACTTCAAATTTGATTGCCCCATCTTTGTATAGCTCCAGGATCAGAGTGCATCTAGCTCCTCTGGACCATCCACAAGGGATTGCATTCTGCTTGCAGCCTGCGAGGCACATGAGACTCTTCCTCAGAGTGCTGATTTTCCTGCTGATGTGTTTACATCCTGCCTTACGACACCCATCCAGATGGCATTAAGATGGTGACTTGTATTCTTTTGTTATTGTCTGTTTTTATTATTACTCTTAATGCTTTTCTATTTTTTGGAATATCTGCTAACTTCTAGCGAGACTTATAACTATGGCTATTATGTTCCTTGTCTATGATAGTTCATCTCAGTAATTTAATATGTTTCATAACCTTTTCTTTTAGCTCCATTTTAATTTTTGTAGTTCTTAATTTCTTTAATTTCATTTGTTATATTTTTCTGAGATTAACATCATTTTTTGGACTTTGGGTTAATTGAATTGCTTAGAGAATGCTCGTGTCACTGCTGTTCAATGAGGACCTGTATTGTCATGATTTTAAAGTTTCTATTGTCACATGTTTGAAGTGTTTACATATATGAAGCATTTGTGGTCCCTAGCCGGCCTATTTTTGAAAAATGACATCATGGAGAAATAAACTCCTATTGAAAATCTTGGATGAGCAGAGCTAGCCACATTTTTTTATTTTGGAGAATACCCAAATATTTACCAGTAATGTGGCAATCTTTTTGTTTATTTCTAACTTGATATGATATTTAACATTTTTGTATGTCGACACCTCATTGAATATAAATGAGCGCGATCTAATGTATTTTCTCATTGGACTGAAGTGTAGCCTAAAGTTATACAAATTCTTTTTCTGTAGGACATGTATTCTATAAAACTAAGAAATTAACGAATGAAGTAATTAATGGTGGTGTTACTATTATTTTTTTGTAATGATGAGCCCTATTTTTTGGGGTCTCTCAAGGGGCGTGGGGAAAAAGTGGTTTTTTTGTTCTGCGCTTTTGATGTTTAATGATGTATCTTTTTTTGTTCCATTGATTATGAAAATATAGTTATAAATAATTTAAGAGCAACATAGCCCTATTTTTACAAATTAATTTGTGAAGAACGTAGTCCTAGCTACAATGAATATCTTCTGCGATAGAGATGCGAAGGAAATCTATCAATAAAATGGAAAGAATAGGTCCCATTTTCTCTTTTAGGGATGAGATGTTTACGCTCCACTTTTGTACTCTTGCACTCCTCTTGATTTCCTAATGAAGGAAATGGTACAATTACCCCCTCAAAAGTGGTGTGTAGGAGTAAATGCTTTCTGTGGGTCATTGATTCCTAGTGGAAGATCTGTCTGTTTAATTCCACATGACAGCACCAGCTACAAGAAAAGACCAACTATCAACTTTTTGAATTAATTGGGAATGTGAGAGTGTTTTTAAAGGACAATTGTTTTATTTCCTTTTTTCTTATTTTTTTTTAAAAAACAAGTGGAGTGCAGATTCCTTCCCCTTTTTTATTGATAAAACAGGGAAAATCCTGTTGCACGTACACCAAATAGAACATGCTGGGGACCATAGCTTCGGACAATTGTTTTATTTCCTTTTTTCTTATTTTTTTTTAAAAAACAAGTGGAGTGCAGATTCCTTCCCCTTTTTTATTGATAAAAGAGGGAAAATCCTGTTGCACGTACACCAAATAGAACATGCTGGGGACCATAGCTTCCATTACATAGCTACTTTTTGTTCTTCCTATTAAAAATCCTTTAACTCTTTTATTTTTAAATCTAAAATTTTCAGTGTGGGTTTTGGCATTAGGACTTGCCAAATGAAAGACCGAGCCTGGTGAAGGGCTTAAAAGCGCCTTGGTGGCAGCTATCTGTTGGATCTTTTCTAAGAGGTTAGGTTGGTGGTTGAGTCCAAGCAGTTATTAGTGGTCTCCTTTTATCCCTTCAGGCAAATTTCTCTGAAAAGTGGGACTTATTGGCCTTGGTGGGATTTGTTGGGGCCATAGGGCCCCAATTCTTTTTTATTTCTCTGAACTAAGGTCATTCCAACACTTTTAAGGCTGATTTGTTGGCTTGCGTATTTGTTTTCAGCATATCCAGTTGGCCTACATTTATAGAACATATAGTTATTATGTATCGGGGTTCAGGCCTGTGAAGACATGCTCAATTGGTTGTATTATCTATTTTTCATAGTTCATTGGCTGCTTTTTTTTTTTTTTTTTTTTTGTTTGTGGGATTTCTCCATTTTTTCAATTTTTATTACTGCATTTGTGCTTCTTTTTCCTTGAGGTAGTTTCTTTTTTTTTGGGAATTAAACCCTTTAATTCGGCACGGCGGAAGCAAGATACAAACAAGCACACACAATAACACTATTTAATGTGGTTTGGCCGAACTTGACCTACGTCCACGGAGAGAAGAAAATTCACCATAATGAATCAAGAAGAGAATATACAATTGTAGAGAATGCCCACCCATTTATTGCACCTTTCTACTCTCACCCACTCTCTTCCCTTTTCACTCACTACTCCATTCTCTTTTCTTCTCTACCTTCTCCACGCAACTCCCTCTCTATTTATAGAGTTCCTAACGCTAGCTTGGTGAATGAGTAATAAAAATCCTTGTTCGGTAAGTAATACAGTTACTTGGGGCTCAAGTACAATTACTCTCGGCCCAAGTCTAACAAAACACTCTCAATCCATTACAATTCAAAACCCAGCCCAATAAGAATTACAACAATTTTTTTACATATTTTCCCCTGTTTAGTAATTTATGTTTCCTAAATCAAAGAGTTTAAACCCATGGCAATGGGAATTGTGGCAAGGGAAGTGAAAAACACAACATTTTAACAACTAACTTCCAACCTTGTTTATTGTTTCTTTGTTGGAAAATTAATCTTCTTTCTGTGACGCCAGCCTCTTCTCTTGTGACCCTACAACCTTATCCTCAACTTGAAATTTTTTAATTTAACACCCTAAGGCAAAGGCACAATGAGTTTACCTCACCAAATCAGCATTGAAATTTGTGTTGCTTCTAGGATGGAAGATTGCACCTAATGATCATGAATTGGAACTCAACCACTGAACAAAGAAAGGGGCAATGTTAGATGGCTTGGCTACGCCTACGGGGCATGGGGTGTGGTTGTGCATCATTGGACCTCTCTGTATCCCAAAACTTAGGGTACAGAGACTTGGCTTAAAATATGTCCAAGAATTGGATACAGTTTTATGGACACATCTTGCACATTTAAGTACATAATATGCTATATAATAGCGTAATGTATAATGCTATAATTCTGTAAATATATACTCAGTTATAATTTTAATTTAATTGAATGTGGTGAAAAAAAAAGGGATTCCATCTTTGCAAAATAAGAAGCTAGTCTTTGCTATCAGATTGAATTTTTTTTCTTTTTCCATCTTTGCATGTAGAGAACTTGAGTGTTCAGTTTGGACATTTGTCTCAGATGCCATACCCAAGTCCTTTTGAGTCGACAGAAGTACAGTTAAGGGGATTAGGAATTGAGGAGAGTCCATTTAATGCGGGAAGGGGACAAAATTAGCAAAGAAAATATGCATTTTGTCCCTTTACACCAGTATATGAATGAAATGGCCAATGGTCTTGGAAATACGGTAAACTCTAGTTCATTGAGTGGATTCCTATGTCTCATGCCCTTTGAAATTCTGGTGAAAGCCTTTTAGGTTCCTGTCAACCACTAATTTTTTAGTTTTTTTTTTTAATTATAGAAACATCGTTGTTACATTGTGTTTGTTTGCTGGATGATGCACACTTGGGTATGAACAGAAAGTTCTTCAGTTATGTACTTTGTTGACAGCATGTTATATCGTGAAGTAGGTTTTTATATCTCATAAAAGGGCCAATAAGCTTATAAGGCATCTATCTCTAAAAAAGATTTATCCGATTATCTTCACTTCCCTGCTAGGAAGTTATTAGAAACCAGAAACAATTATAAAAGATGTATAGTATTTGGTCTACTGATATGTCTCTTGCTTCAGGTGCAAGTGGTCTTGAATAATTCTTGGCGCGTTTCTTACTTTTCAAGTACTAAATATTTATAAAATGATTTTGGTTGAAATGCTAATTTTGAGGTTGTCAGGTTGATGTGTTTAAGAGAAATTCGAAAGAATTATTGAGAAGTTTTAAATGCATTGGTTGGGTACAAAGATAATACATGAGTGGTTATGATTTTTCTGATAGGTGCAATAGAGATAGATGACTACACTGGTGAGGGGAGACATATAACATTTGCTTGCATAAGTTTGAGTTTTGCTGGTCCTTTATTTGGGCATTTTGTTTATATGTGCAGAAACAAGGGAAAGACTGAAAATAAAGTAGGCTCATGTAGTTAGGGAACATATGGTAGCATGGGATTTAACTAAAGGGATTATTCCATAAAATGGGATTATGGAAAGGCCAAAATCATGTAGTCAAAGTCAATGTTTCAAAAAAAATGGAATATGTCTTGATTACCAAATTACCCCTCAACTGTCTTGAGAAATAACCCTATTACCTCTCCACCAACTTTCTTAATTCACCTACCCTTTGTCTCTCTCTCTTCATCTCTCTTTCCGGCAATAAAGAAGCACCAAGGAAGTGAAGTAAATGAACATTCTGGTAAGCTTAATTTTTTGAACCAAGCTTCATTGATTCCGGCCAAGCTTCACTCATACCATATATGTCCGGCGAAGCTTTAGAGCAGAAACAAACCGGTGAAGGAGTGGCGGAACTGGATGGCGACACTTGCAATCCATGGAGCTGGCTGGAAGTTTGAGCACAGTTGGAGATTGAAGGTTGGCCGAAGCTTGAGATGATGCTGGAGTTTCGCCATCGGATACGTCCTTCCACGGCCTACCTGGAAGACTCGAATAGCAAGTCTGGTCATGTTTTCCCTCCACTGTTTCAATTTCACTCTCAAAGTCTGTACTCTACAGTCCCACGCACACATTTTCCCTCCCCTATTTCAGTTTCTCTCTCAAAGTCCATACACACACCCACTTTTTCCCTACCCTGTTTCAATCTCTCTCTCTCTAGAAACTCTACAGGCACACACACCCATTACACAGATCAGAAAGAAGCTCAAGATGATAAAGTCTTTCAGCAGAAACTCTGGTGACTCTCCCCAACATGCACTGGAGCTGGCGCCTTCTCCGCCAGCTTCTGCCTCAGCCCTCGGACCAGCGAGACCAATCCACAAGCACAGACCAAAGATGTATGGTAGATTTCCATGATTTTGGCCAAAGACACAGTAAATTTTCAAAGGGGCAGTTTGGGAATCAAAATACAATGTACAGTAGATTTCCATGATTTTGGCCATTAACCTCCATAAATTCATTTTTTTAGAAAGTGTAGATTTGACTCCATGAATTCGGCATTTCACCTCCAGAAATCCATTTTTTTGGAATAATCCCTTTAACTAAAAGCATGCCTTTATAAAGGGCAGAATGGTAGAAAAGGTTAGTATTAGGCCCACTTATTTGGGAGCTATGTTGTGAGGAGTAATGAGAAATACGATTTTGTAATAGTTGGGCTTTTCAGCTTAAGCCCTAATTAGACTAGAGTTTAGTCTCTTCCTCTCTCTCTCTTTGAATGCATATAAATATATCTATATATATACGTGGTGTTATTCTTATGGTATGAGGTATGTTATAATCAAGCAGGTAATGTTGACATCTGTCAGGGACTATGATCGGTTATGGTTGTTTTAACCTTCTAGGGCTAATGGACTCATTTTTGACCTTCTCCCTAAGTTTCTATTTTTGCCTTTTGGTAGACGCAAACTCATAAAAGAGTCTTCTTGTTCACTTTTCTCTAGTTTGTGTTTCAGTGTTGTGGTGACACTTTCTCCTCCCCTCCTCCCTTTCTGCCACTTTTATTTGTCTCATTGCGCAAAGAAACCAGGGGAGGGGGGATAATCTTGCTCACTTGGAGTAGTTGTCTGGATTGTTTTTTGTTGGATTGATATTTTTAAATTTTCTCTTAAATATTTTTCATTATACAATGCAAAGTTCTTGGAAATGCAAAATTTGTAACATATTTATCAACCTTTCTGTGCCTAAGAAATTGATGAGGCCATAGCCTTGTCATTGCTTGACCCATTTGTTTTTTTTCTCTCTCTTCTCTGAAGACTAGAGGGTTTTAATCTCTCTTACTAAATGATACGCCCCTTCTCTATAGCAACAATTGGTGTGTCAGAACTTGTCAAAATGTCAGTGCGCACCCTTGTCTCTCACTTTGTGTTGGTTTTGCATAGAAAGTTCACCCGTGTTTAGTCCAAAAATGCGTAAAAAAGAACTGAAAGATACCTTTACGCTATGCTATTTGTTTTCATGTTGTTGCTTTTTTTGCTTATTTTATTCCTTAAGGTTCTTCGACATAACACAAAAACTCAAACAAAGATAAATATGTTCAATATAGTGATTCATAGGGAAGTATATTTAGATAGTACAAGTTTATTACTGACAGTAACTCACTCAACTTTAATTGATGGTGTGTGAGTTTACATTTAAAATCTGCAGTATAATCAGTTTGCAGTTTGAAACTGATGGAAATGTAGGATATCTTATTTGCAAACTGGTAGTTACATGAGCTCTTCCATTTGGTTCCTTTCAACAATTTTGATACATGAGATTCCCTTGATGCATCCCCATTAATAGGAGTTTGCATTTTGTAAAAGATTTTTTAAGTGTGACAGGCACTTCGTATGATCGGTGTTTACTTATAAAATTGAAAGGTAAATTTAATAACATAGCTATAAGATAATAAGACATTCCATAATTAGGGGATTGAATGTGGGTGGCTAAGGAACTTCATATTAATCAAAAGAGTGCATAACAAATGCAACTGTTGAGATAGATGTGTGGCAAGACAAAAAAGATAGAAACTAAAAAAGAATGCATTCTTGAGGTGGTTGAAGTAGTTTTCATTGGAGATGAAATGAGAGAATCAGTTATGATGGTATGGCCATGTGCAACAACATCCAGTGCCGGTAAGGAAAAGTAATGTGGTTTTTAGCGAGGGTAATACCGGGAAGAAGGTGAAGACCAAAATTAACGTGGGTTTTGATAGTTAGGAGAAATTTGGTAGTATGTGGTTTAATTGAAGTTATGTCCTTGAATGGAGCAAAAGAGCAAAATGAAAGTCATGCAGCCAACACCAAAACAGTAGGGTATTTGTTAAGAATTTTTAAGTGTGAAGTTGTACCAATAAACTACTGTTTTATATTTTCCACTAGCCTGCTTGTCTATCGTCCCTTGTGCATTCTTTATGCTTCTTTGAAGATTTTTGACTCACCCATTTCGAAAAGATACACATTAGAGGTCTATTTTCTTTTTAAAGTTGTTGGATGTTAAACTTGATTTATCTTAATGCCATGGAAGGATGTCAGTGTACTTTTAAACTTATCTGGCATTCATCTTCATAAGAATGCTCAATTATTTTCCATGGCTAAAGTACCCATTTACAATTTATCTATTGGTAAAAAGAACAATGCAATTAGACAATCTTCCCCCTTCCAAATAGCAAGTATATAACCTTCAAGAGAATTAATGCCCTCCTTGCCTTGTTGGTGCCCATAAACAGATATGCATTTTGTTCCCAGGAGTTGCTGAGTTGGTTGTTGTGGGGGATGATTTGATCGTTTGAACTGTAAGTTTACTTGCATTGACATTCTTCACTTTGTTTATTTTGGTTTTGAGGCTATAGGATTTAGCCATGTTACTTGTGACTAAGTTGATGAGTAGTCCCGGTTCCTTTATCCTGCTCTCTTCTCTGAATTTTATAGTTTATTATTGCTTTTCTTATTTTATTTCAAGAAGTAATTGGATTTGACTAATTGTTGATCAATTTTGTATTATTGTGTCTTTTTTTGCTAATTAATTTTATATTTTTGTTTGGTTGTAATATTGGTGTCCACTATGTACCTTTCTAAATTTGCTTTTAAGATCGCTCATAATTTTTTTTTTTTTTTTTGAATTTTTGCTGGCTTTATTGGCAGTATGTGAGTTTGATGCATCAAGTGGTTGTGGAGGTTGTCTGCTTTGCTTATTATCATATACTTGGTCATTATTGTTTATCTATCTATTTTTTTTTTTTTTTTTTTTTTTTTTGTAATTATTGGGTTTTCTAATCTTCTGATCACTTGCCCTGTTTCCCAGGTTCTGCACTCGTTCATTACTTAGTGAATATCTTGATTATTCACTTATTGACAGAATTCCTGGCCTCCCAAATGACCGTAAAACACCTCTAGGGGAACTAAACTGGATTTTCAGTGCAGTAACTGATACAATTGCCTGGAATATTCTCCCACGTGGTAATGAAAGAGACTTACTGATTGCATGTGGAATTGTGCTGTTTTGGGATTTGGATTTTTATTTATTCCTCTTTTTGATGGGTATGTTTAGCTATGACTCAATTTTGCATCCTGCAGAACTTTTCCAGAAATTGTTCAGACAAGATCTATTAGTTGTCAGTCTTTTCCGCAATTTTTTGCTTGCAGAAAGAATTATGCGTTCTGCAAACTGTTCCCCAGTCTCACATCCATTGTTACCGCCTACACATCAGCATCATATGTGGTAACTATTGGGGCCACTCCTGAGCATTATCTTTAACGTGTTCATTTATTTTTTCTTAGTTGGTACTCACACACACATGCCTCCACTGAGGCTTGAACCACGACCTTCCTTTGGGAAGTAGGAGTCTGATACCGCTATGCCACTGGCCCATTGGTAATGTGTTCATTTATTTCTCATTCTGTGTCTTTATGTGTGCTATAGGGATGCTTGGGACATGGCTGCTGAAGTCTGCCTCTGTCAGATTCCAATATTGGTCGAGGATCCTAATGCCAAGTTCCAGGTTTGTTTCCTTTGATTTGTGAATTATAACAACAATTTCTTTCCTGTATTTGCATATATATTTCATGTTCTCCACGATTACCCAAATTATTCAGGGACATGGTGCTTTTAGCTTTCTGTATACATTAATATACTTATCAATTCAGAGTAATGTTGCATTTGCTTCATTTCAGCCAAGCCCTTTTTTCACGGAACAGTTGACGGCGTTTGAGTTGTGGCTTGATCATGGTTCTGAACATAAGAAACCACCAGAGCAGTTGCCTATTGTTCTTCAGGTGTGGCTCTTTTCTTTACCCTTCTCTTGTGGGGCAATAATTTATTTTATCTACATATGGTGACAAAGTAAATATTCTGTATTGTAGGTTTTATGATTTCTGCTTGATGTAGGTTGGGTTGGGCTGCTTTGATACGAATTTGATGTAGGACGAGAGAGAGAATGAGAGAGAGGAGAGAAAGAGAAGGAATATGAGGATGGGGATCTGTAATCTCTACAATCAATAGTCGATAATTATAAAAATTTATGTGCCTTACTACATTAAGCCTTATTTATAGTCAAAACCCTGCTTACTATTTAAAAGGAAACACTGCCAAAATAATAACAACAAATGTAAATTGACCCTAATTTGTAGTGAAAGATGACTCTGTAGGAGAAAACAAGTCTGACATGCTATCTTTAGTCTCTTCTGACATCTTAAGAGGTAATAATTTGCCTTTTGAAGTTTCCTCATTTGAAGATGTAATCAAATTGCCTACGTAGTCTCCAGGTTTCCACATTACCTTCATTAAGACTATCTAGAAGGGTATTGAATAGTTTTGCAAAACAATATCAATTCCTTCTAGTACAAGAGCCATTATTGTCTCCATAGCTGAAAAGCTGCTCTCCAAATGATAACACCTGCTTCTTTTAGAACGTGCCGGAACATCTTGATAATCAATTTGTAACATTCCAAATCTTGCATTCCGAAGCATAACTTGGCCTTTGCGAACATGTTAAGAATTTTGACCTCTTACTGTAAGAATGAGTGAACGTATTAGATATGTTGTCCAAGGATAATACAATGGCATGAGGAGGTTCCAATGCCTTAAAACTTCTTCAATGACTAATGCCTTCATTATTTGCATTGAATTACATGGTTCTTGTTGTATCTTGCATAGGAAGTGAAAAGCTTTATTAAGCAACCAAAGGAGCTCATTGACTGAATATGATGATTGAAGAAGCCTATTTCCAATGTACAAAAGCTGTTGTTTTAATTTTCTTTTTGCACCTGCTTTTTCCCCCTTTCCTCTTCACACCAATAATGATCATCATTTGTAGGAATTCCAATTGATGGTTAGCTTGGGGTGCACCTTATATTGTTAGTGTTTGTCTTAGCATGAATCCTCTGGGGTGTCAAACAAATGGCACTTTGGGCTGAAGGTATTCGGTTAGGTCATGATTAAAAAGACCAAATGAGTTTAGCCAACTCAGTTTAACTGGTTTTGATACCAACTGATGTAGGATTAGGATGCTCTGGTACCAATCTGATGAAGGACCAGAATGAAAGCAGGGGATGAGAAGATAGAAGAAGAGCTGAGACTAAAAGGAGATGAGAATACATATTGTAAAGATATGTTGGATAGACTGAAAGGTTGAGAAAGAGCTAGAATAATGGGGGAGAAGAGAAAATAATTCTGGAATGATAATAATTACTAATCCAAAGTTAGACTTGTTTAATTACGTAGTAGCCTTTATATAGGCAAAGCATAAAGTAAAATAATAAAGTACTAAACTATTCCTAAAATTAAATCATTAACAAAATAATAATAATGAAGAATGAAAATTAACCCTAATTATATATCCTTGCCCCTTCTCCAAAAGTAGAGGCGAAATAAGCATAGCTTATCCATGCCAGTCACCGGTCACATCTCGTTCTCAATCTCCGCTTCTCCTCTCAAGTCCTGTTTCCTTAGATATTGATTGGTAAGGTGGGGTGATAATATTTTCACTTTTGCTATACATTGGCTAATTTGCTGATCATATGGTAAAACCTCAGTAATTTATTCAATGCATTTGCTAGGAATATGACTTGTTAAGGTGCATTTATTTGAAAGGGAGTTTGTATCTGGGAGTCTACTATGAGGCTTGCGTAAACAAACTAAAATTATTAATGTTTACTATGATTATGAAAATGACATTACATGTCCCAGTTTTTCTAATGTGGTATTTGGAATAAGTTATATCCAGAGGATTTGATACAAAGTCCCATTACTGGAGTTAGCATATCATTCCTACAGATTTGTGGAAGCTCTCGTATTGATGGTTATGACTGAGTGGTAGGTGCAATGATGTTAGCGGTGGTGATGGGTTTTTACATGTCTCAGTTTTTCTGATGATATTTAGCTTGAATGTGGTATTTGGAATAAGTTATATCCAGAGGATTTGATACAAAGTAAAAACCCATTACTGGAGTTAGCATATCATTCCTACAGATTTGTGGAAGTTCTCGTATTGATGGTTATGACTGAGTGGTAGGCGCAATGATGTTAGCGGTGGTGATGGCGGTGGCTTTGAATTGTGATGTGGTTGTGGCAGTTGCAACGTGGTTGATAAAGGCAGCAGACAGTCAGCAGCAGTGGGAGTGGATGTGGCTATCAGAAGCTATAGTTACTAATGTACTATTTTTTCTTACTTGCAGCTCATTTGGAAAACCAAATGTTCCCCTTGGAATCCTAAAGTAATTTAATTTAATTTAATTTAATTTATTATTATTATTATTATTTTTTACCTATAGCATATTGTTAATATACCAAAGAAAAATACTAATATAAATTAAAAAACAAAATAGAAGAAGTTTGATCCCCAAATTCCCCTCTCGTGACTCGCTCCTCTTGAAACTCTTTTTAAGTTCGTTTCTTAGAGAAAAAACATCAATACTATACAACTTAATCTTTTAAATTTTTTATGATTTTACTTCGAATAAACCAGATCCTTTTTGCACCATCTTGAGCCTTGTGCTCACTAAATGTGTTATACTTTTAACGACTTTTGTTTACGCTTTTCCTTGAAATTTAACGGTAAGTTATCAACTTTAAATTTCTCAGGTTTTACTTAGTCCATCCCATCGATTTCGTGCTCTGGTGCTACTTGGACGATTTCTTGATATGGGCCCCTGGGCTGTAGATCTGGTAGTCATTTGTGGCTTTCCCATTGTTGTTGTTTTTTCGCTTTTGGATTTTTTACTAGTTTATGGCATGTTCATTGATAACGCCCTTGTAAAATGGATTTTTTGTTCTTGCAGTCATTGTCCGTAGGAATATTTCCATACGTACTAAAGCTGTTGCAAACAACTAATCCGGAACTGCAGAAAATTCTTGTGTTTATATGGTCAAAGATCCTTGCATTTGATAAGGTATATTTAGACATGTTCTGTGATTCACTGGCTTTATCTGCAAGAATTTTGTTATTACTTGTAAATGTCAGAAGAACCCTGTTGTTACTATTAATTCTTTTGCTCTCTCTCTCTCGTATTCTCGCAATTTGTGTTCAAGAGCATCCATTATGTTTTTCATTTCACTTTTTCCTACTATTGAATTTACTCTTCTTCTCTCTTTTTTTTTGGTATCGGGGTGATAGTCATGCCAGGTTGATCTGATAAAGGATGGTGGTCACAAATATTTCATTAGGTTTCTTGATAGCATGGACGCATATCCTGAACAGCGCGCAATGGCTGCATTTGTTTTGGCCTTGATTGTAGATGGACACAGGCGAGGTCAAGAAGCCTGTATTGAAGCTGGTTTAATACATGTGTGCTTGAAGCACCTTCAGGTTTCTACTCCCAACGATATACAAACTGAACAACTATTTCTTCAGTGGCTTTGCCTTTGTCTTGGAAAGCTGTGGGAGGACTGTACAGAGTCAAAAATAATAGGTTTGCAGGCAGATGCCCCATCTATATATGCCCCTTGCCTTTCTGAGCCCCATCCCGAGGTTTGCCTTGTTCCTTTTTAATTATCCTTATCTCTATTAATTCAATAGTTCTTGACTGCTGCATTTAATCGTCAACCTCCATGTTTATTAAAGAGACTGTGTTACAGGTTAGAGCCTCAGCTGTTTTTGCACTCGGCACACTCCTTGATGTTGGGTCTGATTCATCTAGAAATGATCTTGGAGGCGATGAAGAATGTGATCATGATGAAAAAGTTAAGGCTGAGATTAGTATCGTCAAGAGTCTTTTAGATGTTGTTTGGGATGGAAGCTCACTTGTCCGGGCAGAGGTTGCTGTAGGTATGTAATTACTCATGCAATTTCCCGTCAGATGACATGAGTCATGCGGTAAAACTTGTTCATTGCTTCCCAGATACTGAATTATTTGTTCCTTTTATTTCGTGAAAAACAATTAATTATTATACTTATAAATAAATATATATATATATATATATATATATATATATATATATATATATATATATATAAAATTATTGCAGTTACGTTTTATTGCGACTTCTGAAAATCGGCATGATAGAATGTTGACATGTGTTTACATTGGTAACATTTGAGAATTAGCTTTATTCTCATGATTTTCTTTTCTTCGATCATCTTTTCTGGGCCTATCTGGAGAATGTTTTTGACTCCTGTAAGCCCCTGGCTGCAAACAGATCTAATGCATAGGGTAGAAGGGATGTATTAATATTGTATGTGTAATATCAATGTGTTCCCATGAAGTGGTTGAGGCGTAATGTACGAAATATAACTAGTGCTGAAAATAAATTATAGATAAATGCTAGACCAGCACATTTAGTCAAATCAACCAAAAAATAATGCTTTTGCTTTGAATGCAGTGTGCTGTCCTTATTTTAAGCATCTGTTTGTGCCAGTGTTGGATATTTACTTTCGCGAAATTCCCCTCTTCTTTTGTTTTCTATTTCTATTGGGGTTCCTTTTTAGTTTGGTGTTTTGGGGGGGGGGGGGGGGGGGGGGTGTTTAAAAGGGTTTCTTGCCTTTTGAGGAGCATTTGACTCTCTCTCTCTCTCTCATTTTTAAATCCATGGCCATTAAACTGGAATTGTTGATGAATTTTGTTTATTAAAATATTTCTTGCCATTTAAAATACTTTTTAAACTTTTTTACAGCTCTAGCTCACTTTGCCCGTGGCCACAAGAAGCACCTAAAGTCAATTGCTGCTGCATATTTGAAACCTCAATCTAACTCGGTGCTTAGTTCCTTGCCTTTATTGGCTGTCAAGGGTACAAGTAACAATTATACTACAAACCAGTACATGCCGCATGAGAGTATTGTTCCTTCCCAAATTAGTAGGCTTCTGAAAGTTGACGGCGATAACCAATTTGTGGTTCGTGATGGGAAGGCCTTCAGTAGCAGCATCCATCTTGCAGCTTCTGGAGTAATAAATGGATCTCCACCGTCTGATGATTCCCCTCAGCATTCCAATTCTGGCATATTGAACGACTGTGTGAGCAATGGGGTTGTTAATCACACAAGGCCAAGATCACAAGACAATTCGTTGTATTCAGAAGTTGTACTGGCTATGCAAACGCTAGCCAAGGATCCATCACCACGCATCGCTAACCTTGGCCGTCAAGTACTATCCATTATTGGGATGGAACAAATGGTGACAGCGCCTGTCAACTCCACTGGTAGCAGTGTTCAGTCTGCTGAACCCACAGTAACTCCAACCTCTAGTCTTACTGGACTAACCCGTTCATCTTCATGGTTTGATATGAGTGCAGGTCTCTCTCTTTCTCGGTTTCATATTGCATGTAGTTTATCTTGCAACTTTTTAGCTTCCATCTTTCTTTTATCTGTTTTCAGCTTGCAAATGATGGTTATTTACGTGACATTTTATTCTTGTCTGTGCTTTCTAAGTTTGTCCTTCTTTTGAGCTGTTTTATAGGACATTTTTCACTGGCATTTAGAACTCCTCGGCCAAGTTGTTTAACAGGAATGCGAAGAGTTTATTCTCTAGATTTTAGGCCATACCTATATAATTCTCCAGACTCGGGATTATCTAATCCACTTTTAGCTTCTGCTGGATCTTCTGGTCTCACAGAGGGCAGTTTTCTTCCACAGTCAACTATCTACAATTGGAGCTGTGATCACTTTTCAAAGCCACTTCTTACTGCAGCAGATGATAGTGCAGAAATAATAGCTAAAAGAGAGGAGAGGGAAAACTTTGCACTTGACCACATTGCAAAATGCCAGTACTCTTGTGGGTTCTTTTAATTGAGTGATCTTTTTTTTTTTTTTTTAAAGCAAAGTAGCGTTGTTGTTGTTGTTGTTTTTTTTTTTTTTGTTTGAAGAATCTATTATGATTTTTGTTTTTTGTATCAGCGGTTAAGAAGCTACATAATCAAATTGCTAGGTGGGATACAAAATTTGAGACGGGTGCCGAAACAGTTTTGCTGCAACCTTTCTCTCCAGTTGTAGTTGCTGCAGATAGGAATGAATGGATCAGGTATATGAGTCTCTCTCTGGTCCATGATTTATTGCAGACATGCTCATTATGTCTAGAGAACTGCAATGTAGAATATTCATTGTTGCAAAATGGTGGGAAGCTTGAGTTGTAGTATATCACTAGTACAATGCTGGTGAAGCATATCATATCAGTGACCTCTCATTTAGCTTCATGACAAAGTTCTTGGCTTTCCATTGAATGACTTGGCACCATCAATTGGAGGAAACCAATACCCTTGGTCAAACCACATATAATCTTATCTTTCCTAACTAACTCTACTCGTGTTAACTTGGTCTCACTCTCCTAGCATTTCCTTGGACCATGTCATTCCTTCTGATTAGTGCACTTAGTGGTTTCTTTGCACATGTTCAAATCATCTGAACCAATTTTCTATCATTTGATTTTCAATGAGTGCTACTTCAACAATCTTACGAATGCGCTCATTTCTAATTCTATCATTTCTTGTCTTGCACCACATCCATCTCCAATTCACATTTCTATCACACTCACTTTGTGTAACATGTTTCTGAGCTGCCCAACATTTTTTCCCATAAAGACTGGTGAAACTAATAGTGTTATTTCTCATCACTTCCATTTCAATCTTAGAGGAATACTGTCACCACCAGCCCCGCTGTGTATTGTCTGCTTTGCAAACTTTCCGTGCTCACAGTTTTCAAAACTCATCTACACAATTAGGAGACATCCAAACATATAAGTGCCAGCAACTTCATACCCCCAGACGACGTGGGATGTGACAAATACGCCTATCACACAACATTCTAGATGTACGGCTTTCGGGCCAGGACACCAAACAAAACAATTCAGTCTCTGGGCGAGCTGGGAAGAAAGGGGTCAAATTCACCGGCATTCGCCATCTTTCTATCTGAACTATACCCCATAATTGACGTAGGCCAAGACTTGGTCCTGCCTAGCATCAAATCAAGATTTTCTCACTTATGTAACTGACTTTCATTATACTTTGTTGAATAGCTTCGGGAGTCCAGATCCCAAAGAAAGTTCTTCAAGTCTCATTGCTCGGGAGCTTACCAACCACCCCATATCTGAAGACAGACCTTCGCGTAATAAGTTCAGGCCGCTTCACCGCATCCTGCTCTTCTTCCATTTAACCCATTCTTCCTTGATTCTATGATTAATATCATATTCAATTCTTCCTTCATTGTGAATAATTGAGCCTACATTGCGGATATTTTCAGTTTTTCCTCCAAAACTCTAATTTAGCACTTACCCCTTCTCTAGTTTTGTCAATTAAAACAATATCATCCCCAAATAGTATACAACATGGAATCTCATCCTAAATGTCTCGTCAATTCCTCCATTAAGGCAAAAATATTTGAAGCTTAAACTGATCTGTGATGGAGGTCTTAAGTAATTGAAAATTCACTTATGGTTTTCCATGCCATTCTAAAATCTATCTATAGTCACACTTTCATCATACTTGTCGATTATCATGTTGGGATATTCCTTTATGACTCTTTTCTACGTACCTTATCATAGGCCGTCTCTAAATATTTTTTTTCGAAAAGTGAGGCTGTCTCTAGATTAATAAAACGCTATGGATTTTTTATTTTCTTTATATATTTCCATTAGTCTTCTCAAATAAGTAAACAACTTCCATCATTGACCTCCCTCCCCATCATAAAGTCAATTTTTTCGACAATTCAGGTTTTTGTCTTAGTCAATGTTCAATCACTCTCTCCCTAAGCTTTTTGATTCATTAATTTAACCCCACAATATTATTACAACTTTGTTTATCCACTTTATTTTTATATATATGGTACTAAAATGCTTTTGTTCCTTGAGACATTCTCTTAGTTATTAATTTTTTAAACAATTTTAGGAGCTAAGACACACCAAATTAGGTGCTTAAAGTTATAGAGTTGTTTTATATTGGAAGTAAAATGTAATTTCAAATCTCTTCGAACTTTGATTGAGTTTTATTTTTCTAAGGATGTTATGTATTGTATAGTTGTTTTGAAATTGTTCCATTCACCCCTTTCTTTTATTCTTGTTGTAAACCAGAGTTCCCTGCTGAAGTTGTGATTCCAAATATAGAGAGTATATTTTAGATGGATTGATGGACTGTGTCATGTGTGTTTGATGTGGGTATGCATATAAATTTTAATATATATATATATATATATGTTTTATTTGTTGGGATAAAATAATAGTTTTCTGTAAAATTCTCGTGGTTTGTAACTCTGAAAACAGAAAGAACTGAAAATCAGAAAATTGTACAAAGACTCTGCATGGTTTAGTTTTCTGAAAACTTTGTAATAAAAATGCTTGTTTTCAGAGAACTATCTTTTATAGTTATCTGAAAAGAGTATTCTGCTTTCTGAGTTCTTCATAACTCTTTTCAGAGTTGCAAACCAAGCAGACCCTAAGCATTCAACATGGGAACTAAACTCATTTTCGGGTTGCATGTCCTATCTGATAGCATTATCCTCTCGCCTTTATTATCCTTATGAATAGGGTTGGCCACATGAATTCTCTTTTTCCATTCTATTCTAAGCTATATCACCTCTTATATTTAATTTCTTAAAATCATTTTCAATTACTTCATCCCAAGATAGTTTTGGGTGGCCCCTTTGATTCTTACCCTCTATGCAAACTAATCGTTAGACATACATTGTATGTGTCCAAACAACCTAAGCATGGTTTCTCCTATTTTTTTTCACTAATAGGCCCTTCGCCTAACTTTTCTCTTGCATGTTGATTATTAATCCTATATTTTATGGCCACTTCTATCAGCAATCTTAAAATTCTCATTTTCGCTCCATGTATGATCAGGCCTATTGATCATCCCATAGAATGTTGTACCTGACACATATCGCATAACCATACCCGTATGTTGAGTGGATACTTCATGCATTAGCAGCAGTCCATGTAATATAATGTAAAATCATATTTCCAATACTATTTTATAATCTTGCCTTTAAGAGTTACATTAATAATCACTATAAATATTACCTGTCATTATTCTAAATCTTGGGTACAACTATATATTCACCTTTGGCTATTGATCATGTAATTAAAAATACTAATGCCATTAAATACCTGTGATTCCTTCCTACTCATGACTGCAACTCAGATATGGTTCTATCTGAGTTGATGGTGTAGATGCACTAGATTTCTTAACTGGATGTTATTTGTAGTTTGAAATTTATTTATCTTTGTTTTGTCAGGATTGTTTTGTTTAATGTCATTCCACTTCCTTTCTTACTTCGTATATCTAATAATGCTGGGCAATTCTGTTAATTTAGGATATGGAATTATGAGGATGCTACCTTGCTCAACAGTTTTGACAATCATGATTGTCCTAACAAAGGAATATCAAAGCTCTGCCTTGTGAATGAGCTCGAACTCGATGACAGTTTGCTTCTTGTTGCTTCAAGTAATTTTTTGTATTGCCGTGTTGATTATGTTGCATGATGATTATAAAGATCTTTCACTGGGGTTTTGATTTTTAATAATCTCTTACTTGTGTGTTGTTCTTATGTTATGTAGATGATGGAAATATCCGAATTTGGAAAGATTATGCTCTAAAGGATGAACAGAAACTTGTAACTGCATTCTCTTCAATCCAAGGTCATAGACCTGGTGTTCAAAGTGTAAATGTTGTTGTGGATTGGCAGCAGCAGTCTGGATATCTGGTATATACTGTAGAATATATATGTATAAAGGGTGTTTGTTTCTTCTAGATTAAACTTCATTTTTTCTCTGTTCTTATACATTGTGTTAATACATTCCTATCATGCTGCCACTACCAGTATGCTTCTGGTGAAATATCTTCCGTTATGGCTTGGGACCTGGATAAAGAGCAGCTTGTCAATTCTATTCCTTCGTCGTCAGATTGTTGTATTTCAGCATTGGTGGGTTTTACCTCATCCTCCTATTTGCTTTAAATTATTTGTTCCATTACCATATTACCCTATTGGACATGTTTTCCGTCCATGGACTTGTTTGTAACTTGGTTTTTAGGTCTTCATTTTTTATTTGTACATAATGCAAGGTAAATATTTTATACTGTGTAAGGTATAATTATATGTGTTTTGTGGTGGTAAATAAACAAAGATGTATGGAGTTGACCTATACCAGGATATTTTGCTGAGTATTTTGAGTTGGTTCAGCTGATGTAACTAGATGTGGGTTCTTCTATTCTGTTTTATTTGTTAATTTTTTTTTTTTTTTTTTTTTTTTTTTTTTTTTTTTTTTTTTTTTTTTGTAGTTGTTAAGGACCCCAAATTAGCTGTCCCCCAGTTCATTGCCCCTAACATGTTTTATTTTTTATTTTTCATTAGATACTTCATGGATTAATCACATTTGGTTCCATTTTGGCTTAATTTGGAGGGGGTTTAGAATTGTTTCAGAGGGCATCTGTTCTCTTTTTTGTTTCACATTCATTTAATGTGAGATGAGGTATTGCTCATGTGATGTGCAACCAGTTTAGTGCAAGCAGTTTAGTTGTGTTGCTTTGCAGTTTCTGGTAGTTTGTCCAGAAATGGGGAATGACATCCCATTCCATGGTGGATATGATGGATACCCATGACCAAAAATGAACATAGCAAAGCGCTAGCCTTCCAAGTGGAGTTGTTTACTCATATTTAATGATTTTGCTCTCTCTATTCCAAGGATATATGCTGTTGTCGTAGTAGCGTATTTAATTTATTTTATGTAAATATATAGTTGTTTCAGTAGCACAGCACTAACTGTCCTGAGCTTTCAAGGTTCTGCTGTTTGCAAGTGTTACTCTTCCACTGAATCTTTTATTGCCTGTTATCATCAATGGCAACATTTAATGTTGTACTTTCCGTAATCGTTATTTTCATTCATGCCTTGTGTAGTCTGCTTCTCAAGTTCATGGGGGTCAATTTGCAGCTGGTTTTTTGGATGGTTCCATCAGACTGTTTGACCTTCGAAGTCCTGAAATGTAAGCACTAATTCTTTTTCTTAGTTAAATGTAAGCACTAATTAAATATTTCATTTAAAATAAAATCACTGACAGTAGCATCACTGTTGCTGAGGCTTTAATAGCGCAATGCCATCCATTGCTGTGATTATAAATTTATGTGAGACATGATGGTCTGCCTGGAGATTTTCCTACCGGCCATTAACATGACCAGCTCACTGTTGCCACTTTATATTAAGCTTTTCGGGAAATTAACACTCAATCTTCACAATCATTTTGAGCATTCGACATTCCTCCCTTTCTCTAACTGCGTTTATTATGTATTCATTTTATTTTTCAATGATCTGTTTAATTCAGGCTTGTTTGTGCAACATGGCCACACACCCGAAGAGTAGAAAGTGTTGTGGGAATTGGCTTTCAATCCGGACTTGATTCAGCAAAGGTATGTGTGAGTGTGTATAAGACCTTATCTATATCTCCATTTAGGTGAAAGTTGTCTTCATAGTTAGCCAGAATCTTCAGAAGGCTTTTGTTCTAGATTAGCTCCCTTTTTTCCGCTTGAAAACCATTATCAAACTAAACATTTAGGTTTGAAAAAGTTTAGTTTGTTATGCTTTGTTTCAATTTTTATTTGTTCTTTCAGATTGTTAGTGCGTCTCAGGCTGGTGACATTAAATTCCTTGATATTAGACACCAAAAAGATGCGTACCTCACAATTAATGCTCATAGGGGCTCACTTACTGCTTTAGCTGTTCATCGGCATGCACCAATTATTGCCAGTGGCTCAGCCAAACAGCTTATCAAAGTCTTTAATTTGGAGGGTAACCTATTAAGCACCATCGGTTACTACTCCACCTTCAAGGCCCAGAAGATGAGACCTGTAAGCTGCCTCTCCTTCCATCCATATAAAGTACTGCTCGCTGGTGGTGCTGCAGATGCTTGCATCTCTATCTATGGTGATTAATCTCTGTGGCAAGATGACAAGATAAATGTAGATTTATTCATATCCTTCTCTGAAGGCCTTTTTGTTGGGAGGCAATATGAGCGCATTAACTTGCATCGGTGTGACAACAATGTGGCATTATGGGTGCAGATGGAGATCAAGTTTGAGTCTTTCTGCGTCTCCAGTTCCTCCTTGCAATTCATGTTTCTGAAAATACAGGTTAACCTACTCTGTCGATATCCGATGCTATCTATTCATTAGCCTCCATTAGTCAGACAAGTAGGGAGAAATCCAGCATATTCCTTGTGGATGCTTTGGGAAATAATCTGATATAGATATAAAAAAAGGTGTAAATATTCTCTCCTTTTATTTAGCCATGATATATATATATTTTTTCCCATCACTTTGTACCATGTGTAAATGTACAAAATCTATTGCGATTATAAATTAAGTGTTGTTGACGGGCAGTTTTTGTTCATGGTTTATCCCCAATAATGAGGGGATGAATTATATCATGTTCCTGAACTTGTCTTGTGATTATTTTCATCAGCATTACCAGGCCTTCTTGGCGTTGAATTGAACATCTTTGGTTTGGGGCTAGTGTCATTGACGTTGCTCTTCATTTGGTTCATCACAATAACTAAATGAAATGCGCACATGATCTGAAATTTGGATGGTCTTAGTACTAAAGTGCTATAAGGTTTATTATTCTTATGAGATCAATAAACAATTTATTTATTGTCAGAATGATAAATTAGTAAATGCAAATTAATTAGTTTCAGAAATATTACAACACAGCAGATTGAATAAAAATTCTTATTTAATTTTTCAGATTGCAAATCGTTTTGATTGTTTAGGAACTACTCCGTATTTGTTTATGCTGTTCAATTAACTTCTCTTGACCAAGAAATTAAAATGGAGACTCGCAATATATATATATATATATATATATATATATATATATATATATATATATATATCTTATTTAAATTTTCAAATTATAAATCATTTTGATTTTTATGAACTAATCCGTATTTACTTGCAATATGGATGATGGGGAGCCAATTAAATCTAACAAAAAACCTTACTCATATTAATACAATCTGTTCTCTATTACAATGTGCTAACTAATAAATGGAGCCAGACTACACTTGGGAAAAGATACACCAAAACAATTGCAGCAAAATCAAAATATCAGAATACACTCTGGAAGATCAAGAATTCAGAAGCTACAGATGAATAGAATCACAACATTTTGCCGGATAAAAAAAAAAAAAATAAATAAATAAAAAAAATAAAAAAATAATAATAATAAAAAATAATGCCGTTTATATTTCTTACAACATTTCGCAACCTTTTACATTTGTTACAGAGGCGATTATTTAAAATCTTATATTTCTTACAACATTTCGCAACCTTTTACATTTGTTACAGAGGCGATTATTTAAAATCATAAGTATTTATACTATAACTACAGGCCATTTCCTGTTGGAAAGAATAACATGGCAGATGGCAGATTTCAATAGAAGGGTGATATATAGGTAATAAAAGAAAAAAAGAAAAGAAAAGAAAAGTAATGTAATGATGTCTAAATGTTATTAGTTGCAGATTCTTATAACAAGGAAAGCACAAAATAATTTTTATATTTTTGGTAAAAAAAAATACATCTCCAAAAAAACAGCTTATAAAGTAAACTAAATGTTTTTTCTTACAAAAATAAAGCTTGAAATTTGTATTTCATTCATGAGAAACTCACATTCCTTGTTCCAATCCCTTTTTTTCTCTAAATTAGTAAACGGACCAGAGAGAGTCACTCTTTTTATATTTCCGACTTAGTTATGCCATGAGCTGATTCTTTCTCTAGGTTAAAGAATCGAGATCTCTCATTCACTCATTTCTCTCTCTAGAATCGACTAGAGAGACAACTCCTCATTGATTGATTTTCTGTCTCTGGCTCCAATTCTAGTTTTCTCTTTCAACCTTCCACTGCTTTCCTCATTTTCTCTCTGTTACAATCTAGAACTATATAAGAAATAATTGATTGAATTCTTGAAGTTGGTCTAAAATGTATGTGATTTTTAATGTTATTCGGAGAAGTGCTTGGTCCATGGTACGTCGTTTGTCGAGGGTTGAATTGATTAGGAAAGCAAAATTCATTCAAAATCGTAACAACATGACTGAAATTGATCTTGAAGCTGGAAGGTCACAATCGAAAGGATCAATCGAGAGGGAGGAGGAGGAGAAATTTACCCAGTATAATGCACTAAAAATTCTGATCCTGATTTCACATCTTGCATTTGTGATCTCCTCCATGATGGTGTTAAACAAATTGAATGACACAACTATTGACAACTCTGTTCTGGACTTGGTGTTCAAGTGGTCGTGTGGATTCATGAAGCTGATGAAATTTTTTGACAAACACAAATATATATTGAATTTTATTTTAGTCATTTTCCGTCATTACTTTTGTGTAGCTGCACCTCTGACCTGCCGTTCGGGAGTGGAGTATATATTTTCGCTACAGTGGTTTCCGAATTTTGCTTTCTCATTGAATCTATTTTATTTGCTTTGTTTTAACTTTTATTTTTGGTGAAATCTTGATCTAGAACTTGTTATGCGATTCGAATTGCATGTATATAGGTCCATGGATGGGACACAAAACATGCTATTCTAGATGCCTATAAATAGCCTCAAATCGGTTAGACTATTCTAGATGGATGTTTTTAATGAGACATGCAAATTCTATGGAATCAATGGGCCGGATGATAATCAAATTCGTTTATTATATATATATATATATATATATATATAAATTTTAAAATTTTCGACAATGAACTACAACATATATTTTTTTTATGCCTTTTGAGAATAGAACTAGAACATTTTTTTTACAATGGTTTTTACGCTTTTTGAGAATCGAACTAGAACAAACTTTTTTTTTTTGTTTCAACATGGACTATTTTTAGAGGCTTATTTTTTATAATCAATCAATAATATAATTACTCGTATAAATCATAGTTAAGTGGGGGCATTGAAGACATTTTTTTTAAACTTAAGGTAAAAAAAAATGATCCCAAGGCCCAGTAACAAGCTGATAAATAAATAAAATATATAATGACACAAAAAAAAAAAAGAATAAATATATATATATATATATATATATATTTATTTATTTAATGGTTGGTTATGGGGAGAGAGAGAGGGGGGGTGCAGGGGAAAATGGGCTAGGAGGGGGGATTATACACATTATGTGAGGGGTGAAATGGGAAGAAATAAGGTCAAAATTGGATTTTTCATATTTACTGTTTCATAAAAAAAAATAGTCAGGAGGGTTATTTGTACATTTTTTGAAAAACAGGGACTACTATGCAACTTTTTTTAAAAATAAGGACCGATAATGCTCACATTTAAAAAAGAAAAAGTATTTGGTGCACAAAACTTATACTGCAGGGCGAAGATGTCACGAAGCCAGGAGGAGGAAATAACACAAAGCTAGGTGGAGGAAATTTTATGATTATTGTATTTCAATGTTGCAAGGAAAATCTCTTTAATCAACCCATTATTTAAAGATAGATTAATCGTTGAAGATAAATTTGAAGAGAACGAGTGATCAAGCTAAGGTATCCGGGTCAATGATGATGAACAAATTGAACAATGGATGAAAATGTCATATATACAGGGTATACAAATTTTCAAAAGCACATATTTCGAAAAAGCAGCATACCCAAATATAAATATATTATTGTTAAATTATTTCAATTGTGTTTACATTTATATGGGACGAGTAGATATTGAAGGTTTTATAATTAGTGTATCAATTCAATGATAATACACTATTTAAACAAAAAAAAAATTAACTCACATACGAAATAATATGTTATATTTAATTGAATAGATACACAATAGATATAGGGCACCTAGCATGCCCAATAATTATAATCTTTTGTGTTTTCCAATAATTATAGTAATAGCTAATTACAAATGTAAATTACTAAATTGCAAACGTTAGAAAACAGATAGTATACAATTTAAATTAACAGTCCACAGCTTCTAATATAAATTCATAAAAACTATATTTACCCATATAATTGAATAAATGACCTCATAATTCATTTTTGAAATAATCTAGTAGGAATAATAATGTCCCCTTTTCTTTTTCATGTTTTACCCCTTTTGAAATTTATTGAACAACATACATGACAATACATGATTACATATGGTTGCAATTATTACTCATTTATTAAAAAATATGCATATTTTTAAAGTCTCATTATTATAAAGTATGAATATCATTAAAGTATATATTATTATTTGGTCACCCTTTGACTAAATAATAAAGACCCTATTACCCTAATTGTGTCATCAAATTACAAGGAAAAAAAAAACTTTATTCAAAGGAACAAATTTACCCTTTTCTCTCTCCACTCACCCCACACTCCCTTGCAATTTCCAAACCCAATAACTCCACCGCCTCTATTGCTGACAAGGGTCATATGTTCCACGTTGGATCTGAATGAGAAAGTGATTTGGTATAAATGGGTAGATATACAACATTACCCAACAACTTGAACTTTTGGGTAAATGGACAAGCGCCTACCCATTACAGTTAATATCAAAGGCAGGCCTAATCATTAATCCGGTGTCACGCCAAGCGCCCGGCTCGGAAGGCATCCGGGTGACTCACTCGGGTAGGTAGGGTGACCCGACTGCAATGAGAGCGTTGCAAGTTCGAGTGGGGGAGAATGTTTTGTCCCACATCGAATTCGGATGGATAAGTTTCACTCCTCCACCACCACCACCAAGCATCATCTCCCTTATCTTCATCTCTATATATCTCTATATACAATATATATACTTGGTGAATTTCTATGTAATAACTTAACGTGGTTTATAAAGTCTTTGGAAGTTCAATTTAGGTTGCACACGGTTTGGTTTGATACGATTTCTGATAAAATCGGAATCGTTCGTAACGATTTCAAAAACACCGGAATGCAATATATTGATTAATTAGGTAATTGAATGGTATTCTATCTTAATTTCTAAAAAAACAAAATTGTTATCTTTTGGAGAATTCAACTAATATATGATTACAAGAATTATATTATTTTAGATAAATCATTAGGAAACAAATGAATATCATCAACACCATATTCACCATATCATTACCGACCAAATACAGATAGAGAAGGCAATATACAATATATAAAAATGATATTGAAGACCGATAAATTAAAAGGAATAACTTTATTTTAAAAAAATTATATGTCGAAATTTTTAAAAAGAATGGTGAACACTTTTTTTTTTTTTTTGGACGAATGCTGAACACAATATCATTAAAATCACAAATTCAAACAGTAAGCACTCCAGAACCCACCATTTTTGTTGACATCCTTTTTGGTAAATTTTGTATTGATGACGTGGCAATAGAGAAGGGTGATATTCCACGTAGATTGAAGTTGAA